CTATTGCTTTATCGTTATTGTATTATCTATTGCAGGCCTCTAACGGATACGGTAATCTAAAAATTCTATGAATAGAAGTGAAATAATAGTTTATTTGTATATATAGATATAAAGTTTTTAAGTTTTATATATTTATTTATAAATAAGGAACGACAGGTCATAAGATTCATGTCACAAAAGACTTGAAGATCCGAACATCTATCTGTCACAGAAGACCTCAAGATCCGAGGATCTATCTGTCAGAAAAGGTGTCATGATCAGAAGACCAGAACAAGGCTTGCTAAAACGGCATCTTTTCCCTCAAATTTACAATTCAAAGCCAAACATCTCTTCTTTTCCGTCAACAAAATAATTTTTTTTGTTTGCTCTCTCTGCTCTGCCCAAATATCTTCTTATCTCTCTATCTACCGTATTATTCTATTTGATTCTAATTACTATATATCTATCGTTTATATTTATCGTTTAGCGTACTCGTTTTTACCTTAAAGTCCTTAGCAGAATCGGACGCCGAGAAATAACTCAAGGCTAGTCGAATCAAGCCAAAACTAGACTAAAGCCATGGGTTTAGCTGTAAAGTTTAGCTGTGGGCATTCGCCAGTCCTGCTCCTTACTATTACTCTTGCAGTAAGACCCTACCCTGGCAATGGGATACTTGTCTAGCCATTAGTAGAGCGCTCGTCCGATAAGCGTCGCGGCTTCGAATCCCGGTGCTGACCTTGTTTTGTATTCCCAAACCCATAAAAGCACCAGCGTGTCCAACTATGTTACTGCTAATAATATTATCAGCATATTAGCATACGTAGGCTATCCACTAATAGCCTTATCAGCTTATCAGCACTATTTCTAAGCGAAGCAAGTCTACTTACCCTAATTTACTCAATTTCAGTTCAAAGCCAGTTCTCCCATTTCCCTAGAACTAAATCGTTTTGTTCATCACTAAATCATCATCGTTTTGTTCGCTCTCTGTGCATTCGAGTATTTGTGCCTAAAGATCATTCGATTGTGCTTTTGTGGTAGTCTGTGAACGGGATAGAAAAAGAGCTTTGTCGCTAAATTGAATTGAAAATTGAAAATTGAAAAAACTTGTTGAATCCCACAAGCTCTTCTTGATCGCTCTTTGTTTTCGTTTACCGTATTTTCTCTAATAGGTGGGCCGTATTGTCGTGAATGTCTTAAAAAGAGGCGAGCCGAGTTGGTCTCTAATAGTAGAAATTTGAAATGGAGAACTATTGGAAATGATTTTTCTTTTTAAGACATTCACGACAATACGGCCCACCGGTGGGCTGAACTAATAACGATTTTCTCTAATAGTAGTGAACCCCGGCGAGCCGAGTTGGTGACGATTTTACGGTTTCAAAGCTTTTGCAGAAGCTCAACACTCAAATCCCCCACTAGATCTCATCGTCAGCTGCATTTTCCGACCTCACATCGATAGGTTCTGATAAGCGGTTCTCGAGATTTCGAGGAATTTAGGCGACGCTCCGGGTGCACTAGTATTAGAGAAAATACGGTATAGATAATCATAAACCAAACTTGAATTGATTTAAAGTCTATTTGAAAGCAGACTAGAGCTTATTCAAAAGCTAGAGCAAAATCTAGAGCTAGATCTGAACGTTTTGTGTGAAAAAGTGTATACCGTATTTTCTCTGGCTGGCTTTTACATTTTACAAATACAATTTATGCTATTTATAAATAGTTTACTCAGCTCTTGATATAAATACCGTCTTCTCTCTAATAGTAGTGAACCCCGGCGAACCGAGTTGGTGACAATTTTACGGTTTCCAAGCTTTTGTAGAAGCTCAACACTCTAATCCCCCACTAGATCTCATCGTCAGCTGCATTTTCCGACCTCACATCGATAGGTTCTGATAAGCGGTTCTCGAGATTTCGAGGAATTTAGGCGACGCTCCGGGTGCACTAGTATTAGAGAAAATACGGTATAGATAATCATAAACCAAACTTGAATTGATTTAAAGTCTATTTGAAAGCAGACTAGAGCTTATTCAAAAGCTAGAGCAAAATCTAGAGCTAGATCTGAACGTTTTGTGTGAAAAAGTGTATACCGTATTTTCTCTGGCTGGCTTTTACATTTTACAAATACAATTTAATGCTATTTAATAACAATAAGTTTAACTCCAGCTCTTGATATAAATACCGTCTTCTCTCTAATAGTAGTGAACCCCGGCGAACCGAGTTGGTGACAATTTTACGGTTTCCAAGCTTTTGTAGAAGCTCAACACTCTAATCCCCCACTAGATCTCATCGTCAGCTGCATTTTCCGACCTCACATCGATAGGTTCTGATAAGCGGTTCTCGAGATTTCGAGGAATTTAGGCGACGCTCCGGGTGCACTACTATTATGGAGAGGATGGTATACGTTTACGTATTAAACCGTTTACAATCTCAAATCTAACGCCCTGGCAGTTAGCCAAGGAGAATCATTAAGTATACCATATTTTCTCTAATAGTAGTGCACCCCGGCGAGCCGAGTTGATGACTATTTTACGGTTTTCAAAGTTTTCACAGAAGCTCAACACTCTAATCCCCCACTAGATCTCATCGTCAGCTACATTTTCCGACCCCACATCGATAGGTTCTCATAAGCGGTTCTCGAGATTTCGAGGAATTTAGGCGACGCTCAGGGTGCAGTAGTATTAGAGAAAATTCGATAATCTCCAGGTCATTCCTAAACTTAATTGAGGTACAAATAAGAAATCTTTTTCTTTTTCATTCCAATTATCGGACTTGATAAACGAAATTGCATGTAGAATTGCCTTTTGTAATCATTTTCGGATTTATTTTTAGAAAAAAAAGCGTTCCCAGAGTTTAAAGGTTTAAAAGAGCCTCTTTTTCGGTTGAATTACCCAAGTCGGGTAATTGAACTCTGCAAAAAATGCTCTTTGATTTTGATTTTGAGTCTTTTGAAGAACTTTGAATTATTTTCAAAAAGAATTTGCAAAATCTTACAGTAAGCACATGAGAGAAAACAATCTTTGGTTCAATTACTGAAGTTTATTTGAACTCTCCAAAAATAATCTCTGCTCTATTGTGGCTAGAAAAGACAGAAATCATAATTGTTTGATTTTAAGCATATAAGAGAAGAATTCACGGAAAAGCGCTTAATTTGCCGTCTCAATTACCTAGCTAGATGAGATTTTTGACTTGTGATACTTGAAAGATCATTTCTATAAAGCAGAGATTTCAAAGAACGTTTCAAAAATTGTTTAATTACCCATTTGCTTACTACTCTAAAGTGTTCAATAATTTCAAGAATATCTAAACTTTATTTCACAACTAAATAACATAAAACAAAGGCTAACAAAACTGAGCTAAAAGAAGTTAGTATTTTGGCTTTGTTGATACATTTAGCTAGATCTAGATCTAGATCTAACTCTGATTAATCTTTGTTCACTTTTTTTGTCAATATAATTCAGTTAAAATAGATCTGTCTTTTCCTTTGTCTTTCGACCTTATTCAGCAAACTATTCTCTTTTAATCCAATAAAATGCGCTATGTCGCTATTCGTGACTCAGTGGTTCATCCGTGCGCTTCCCTAGTAAGGTACGTCCGCCGTAACTCGGTGGTCAATCCGTACGCTTCCCTAGTTAGGAATTTTTTCGAGTTTTAGCTTTTTGATTAATCCTTGCTTTCTGCCAGTTGAATTTTATAGAAAAGACTAATTATAAGAAGCTAAGTATGTCAGGAAGTATACGTTTATTACAGCACAAAGTATTCTCCCAAATTAGCCATGTTTACTACTCTAAAGTGTTCATTGATTTCAAGAATATCTAAACTTTATTTCACAACCAAATAACATAAACCATATCGAATCTGATAATTGTAAGGTCAACAAAATGAATCATAATATATTGAATAGATATTGAATAGATATTAAGATATTTTTACATTTGACGAATAATCTTTGACAGCTTTTTCAACAAAGAGAAAAGAAGCTCTGGGATTGCAGCGAATTCGATTTGTGGGTAATCTCAACAAAAATTTACATGTAAGAATTTCTTTTGGCAGCCAGAATCAGACTTAGAACTGATGTAAAGTCAAATTTGACAAAATTCTCTTCAGATTTGCCCTTTTCCATTGATGAGGTCATAGATTTTCTCGTCGCCGAAATCCGTATTGAAAAGTATTGAAAAGTTATTGATTTAGTTACTCAAATTTAACAAAAGCTTACTGTTAATTCCAAGAAAAAGTCTGAATTGTTGAGTTTCAAAGTTGAAAGTTAACAGTTAACAGAAAGTAACAGAAAGTTTCAGATAATAGAAATTCTTTTATCAATTCGTGGATTCGGAATTCAAAAAATTCCATTCTGCAAAAGTATCAAAAGTTGTTAACAAAAGTTTTTTAAAGAAAGATTTAGCAATTGATCGGTTTAATTACCCGATTTTATCCAGAAAATCGCAAACTTAACGATTCAATTGAATCGAGCCATTCAATTGAATCGATTCAATTACCCATCTTGACTAAAGAATCGTTCAGTTAGTTGCTTCAATTTCCCGATTCTAACAAAACCAAAGATAGATCTTTTTCAGACACAAATCATAACAATTCCATATATTTACCAACTCCAATTCACAGAAAGCAATTCAATTACCCAACTCCGTCAACGAAACTTAATTAGGTCTTTGTACTTGCCATACTTGCCACTTGCCTTTTTTTTCGGCCAGACAGCGATCAGAGAACCATTCAGGTACAGAAACACGAGTTCTGTCGGGAGGGGCGGGAGTAACGGGTATTTAACGAGTTCTCCGAAAGAGAGAAAACTCAACAAATTTTTCCCCAGTCCACTTTGAAAAGAGTGAGAAAATTTCTCTGCTGAAAAGGCCGATCTCTCTAGTTATTCGAGTCTTTCTGCAGGGATTAGACCCCGCTGATTTACAAGTGCACTGGAAATCATTCATTTCTCTTTCCAAGGATCCATCGAATATTTTTGGAAAGTCTATCCAGCTGATCTATCAACTTTAAATTGGAGATTTGTTTGAAAGATGGTTTGGCAATATTATCGGGAACAAGGTGAGGAAGATGTTGAAAGAGATTGCTGTCTAGAAGGACTAATTGCTATTGCTTGATAGTTCTACAGTTCTTGAAGATTTTTCTAAGATTTATCTTGAGAACTTGCTAGTAACCCAGTTTGTTTTTCGTTGTCAAAACATATAGTCGAGCGTTTGCTTCCTAAAGAGTGTTCTTGACAAATTCTTGTTTGACAAAACCGTTTGAAAGATTATTAGGCTCTTGCCTGGTGACGAAAAGTCTAAATGACTTTTAAAAGTTTAAGTGTCTTTTAAAAGTTTAAATGACTTTAAAAATTTTGAGTGACTTTTAAAAGTTTAAATGACGTTTGAAAGTTTAAGTGTTTTTGTTTAAGTGTTTTTAAGTGTTTAAGTGTTTTTGTAACCAGTTTTTGAATCGTTCTGAGAATTTGGATATAAGCTTAATTTTTGATTCTCTACAACTTTTCCATTGACACCAAAATGCGTTTCTTTTGAAGAAAGTGCTCAAACTGTCACATATGACAATAGCCGGCAGTTTTCAATTCACCAACCCAATAGTTACAATATGATTGTATACTATTATTGTATGCAATACTGCAGTTTCCTTAGTACCAAGTTCATTCAATCAATCAGTTCATTCAATCAATCAGTTCATTCAATCTTTTCCCCTTTTCCCATTACTCGTTCATTCCGCAAATCTATTCTTTTTTATCCTTTCACTTCCCCAATCTTGTTCACACTCCAACTCGACGTTGATTTGACCATGTTCTTTCGGAAATCATCCAATCTCTATTTGCGGATCGGTTCTTTAGACTCTAAAGATACAAATGGCTACAAGACTACGATTTTGGGTTCGGGAATACAAGGAAATTATCTCAGTGATCAACTGAGACAGTCAGTGATCAACTCAGTGACTTCCATCAACCCATCAATCTATCAACTCTAGCACTAGCCATTCATCACAAATAGTCTAAGGCTGATAATTTTACACCAATTAAACACTGACCATTTCCCATCCTGTAGTAAGACAATGAACTTACTTTACAGTATCTTAAAGTTCTTTAAAAACTCTATAAACGACATAGCTCACTACAATATTTCAAGATTGAAATTGTTCAGAATTGCGGTTAATATTGAAAAAAAAGATATTTAGATTGATAGATTAGATAAAAAGAAAAGAAAGCATCAATCTTTTGTCACTTTTGATCAATCAATCAATCAATCAATCATTTTCAAATCATTTAAGTGCTCATGAACTCAAGTTTTTGATTGAAAAATTCTTCTTTTCGCGAAAACAAAGCCTTCCTTGATCAGTGATGCTTTTCAATTTCATTGCAAGAATATTGATTGATTTCTTTTGCCAGATTATTGAAAACATTGAAAACCAGAACATTTTAGAATTCTGTGGAATGGAAATAGCTGAATACACAATCGAGCCAACAATTGCATCACCGGTAAAACTGTGTCGAGTATGCGATGACAAAAGTGACGGAGCACATTTCGGCGTTGAGTCTTGCCGGGCATGTGCGGCTTTCTTCAGGTGCTTTTTGAAATTAAAATTGACAGCAAAATGAAGGCTTGAAATGCAAAGCTCTTCTTGTTTCCTTGAGTAAATCTTGATCTTTATTAATTTGCAATAGTTTGTTGAGCCTGCAATAAAGTTACTAGCTAAACTGCTGTTTTACTTTCTTCTTCCCCTTCTTTCTTTCTTCTTCCCCTTCTTTCCTTGCTTCTTCCCCTTCTTCCTTTCTTCTTCCCCTTGAGTAAATTGCAATAGTTTGTTGAGCCACATTCAAGCAAGTTACTAGCTAAACTGCTGTCTTAATTTTCCTTCTTATGGCATTTCTTTCTTCTTCCCCTTCTTCCTTTCTTCTTCCCCTTGAGTAAATTGCAATAGTTTGTTGAGCCACATTCAAGCAAAGTTACTAGCTAAACTGCTATCTTACTTTTCCTTCTTATGGCATTTCTCTCTTTCTTCTTCCCCTTATCTTTCCTTCTTTCTCTTGGCAAATTAAGGTACCAGATAGCTCAGTGGTGAGAGCAATTGCAGCAATTGAATTGCTCGGAAAGCAAAAAACGAGGGTTTAATCCCCTTTCCAGAATCTATTACAGAAATTCTTACCAAATTCCTTCACTTCTTTATTAAGTGTTTTCATGTAAATCCAGTTACAAAGCAAAAAATGAAACGGTTAAATTAGATTTAATTACTCAACTCAACAATTAAAGTCAAATAAATCTCTTTTCAGACGAAGCGTTGTAATGCGAAAGAAGTACATTTGTCGACAAGGCGGCGAGAATTGTCAGATCAACAAGAGTTAGTTTTCAAGCTTTTTAGCTTCAAACTAAAAGCTTAAGTTAAACCTTACTTTTGCAAACATTTCAAAAAATTTCAGCGGTTCGATGCATGTGTCGGTGTTGTCGCTTTAACAAGTGCTTAAAAATGGGAATGATGAAAGATGGTAAGTCTTAGAAAAAAATACTTCTTTACCTTCTTTACCTTCTTTACCTTCTTTACCTTCTTTACCTTCTTTACCTTCTTTACCTGTTTAAAAATCGTTTTTCTTAAACCCATTTGACATCTTGTCAAAATCAGCAAAACAAATCATAAACCCCACTTTTTTTAAACAAGAGAAAGAGTCAGAAATCACAAAATCGTTGAACTTTCGTCAATCAAGCCGAAATAAAAGTTCTAATTAAGGACACGCGCGATAAGACTGATTGGTTTATTTGCTGATGACAAATTGGTGTGAACAATGAGAGAGAAAAGAAAGCTGTGATAATTGTAGTTTGAAGCACACTTTCGAATATAGAGTTTTACAGAGTTTTACTATGAAAATTGCGAATGGTAGAATGATGATATTAATAGTAGCTTTTTAAGAATATTTTTGAAATTAGAAGCAGCTAAAGTTTGATAATTTCTGGTATGTTGAATCTCATGTCTAAATAAATCTCAAATCACAGATTCAACATTGAAACTGAGGATTGACCATGAGTTAGATATGATAGATCCCTTCTGGTTGCAGAAACTTGTCTTTTGTTTGATTGAGCAACGATTGAGCAACGATTGAACAATGATTTGACTAGGGAAGGCACCAGGTCAAGGTGGCCTTTTGATGCACTTGATGCCTTTTTTGCTATGTATTTGATAGAGCTTTGAATGGGAATTCCGAATCCGTTTTAAGTTTTGGAGCTCTGTGGAGCTCTTGGAGCCCAATGGAGCTCTGTATCGTCCCTATTTATTTCCTATAAAGCTCCTTTAAGGCTCCTTTAAAGCTCCTTTAAAGCTCCTTTAAAGCTCCTTTAAGGGACTATAAAGGAGCTTTAAAGGAGCCTTAAAGGATCTTTAAAGGAGCTTTAAAGGAGCTTTAAAGGAGCTTTAAAGGAGCCTTAAAGGAGCTTTATAGGAACTAAATAGGGACTAAAAAGGACACTAGATGATACTCGCTGAAATGGGCTGAAATACTGACCGGATTTCTTGTCGGATTATCGACAATACCGAAAAAGCGATCTAAACTTTGATCCCAGATCTCTTGCGATACAAAGCTCCATTGGGAAAACTAAAAACGGATTCCGAATCACCATTTAAAACTCTATCAAATACGCATTAAAAGGGAATTTTGACTTGATGCCTTTCCCTAGTAAGATCTGACTTTGAATGGCCAGATTTTATTGTCAGATCATCGTTCCATCTTGACCTTTTTTTTGATAATCATGAGAAATGATTGATCAAATGATAAACGACTTTTCACTAGTCAGATCAATGATGTTTATAGCCTTATCAGTTTAAGTTCGGAGTTTCATATTCCCCGTCCAACTTTGCATACATTATCGTTGACCTGTCAAAAACTCACAAATCTCATTGTAGAATTTTTGAAACCATGATTGAAAACCATGATTGAAACGGGAAATCAAATTGCTTGATTTGAAAAAAAATGATAGTTGTGAATAAAATGGGCAGAAGTCGTCAATAATAATGGAAATTATTTGGAATGAATTGATGGTTTTATGTTGAATAAATGGTAAAACACTAAATGGTAAATAAATTACTAAATGGTAAAACAAAATATAGCTGATCATCAATCAACTTTGACAACTTTGAAAAAACTTTCCCATTTCAGCCGTTCAAAATCCCCGCGATCAAATCGGGGGATCAATTTCTATTCAATTTATAAATTTGCATGTGAATTAAATAGCATTTAAGAATTTAAATTTAAGATTTTAAAGAGAAAATTTAAAGAAACGTATTGCCCAGTCCAACCTATCAATTCCAATCAATTATAAATAAAACAGAGCAAATGGTAAAAGAAATATAAGCTGATCATCAATCAACTTTGACAACTTTGACAACTTTGAAAAAACTTTCCCATTTCAGCCGTTCAAAGTCCCCGCGATCAAATCGGGAAACGCTCCGAGCAGCAGCAGCAACAGTACGCTGAAATCAAACAAGTAGGCTTCGATGAGAATCTCAATTTCTATTCAATTTATAAATTTGTATGTGAATTAAATAAGATTTAAAGAATTGTATTGCGCAGTTCAACTTATCAATTCTGATCAATTCTAGGAGCACGCTGATTCAACGAGTGGCTACTATGATCCACTTCATTGTGAGCAACCGCTTCTTGACTCTTGGGATGTGGTAAGGGTAAACTTGGTTTCAATTTTCAATTTAAACTTTCAATCTTTCAATCTTTCAATATTTAATAGTGTTCAATATTTATGGAAACTTTTGAGCTCCAAGCTCCAAGCGAGGAGATTTTTTTAGCGCTCTCAAAACTTGTTTATGAAAAATCGTGAAGAAAGCATTGTTAGGAGTTTGAATAAACTAAGAATAAACTTGACTTTCAAGATTTTACTTTACAGTTTACTAAATTTACTATTCTAAAAATCGTTTCATCAGAAATTGATAAAATAAAGACATAAAAAAGTCTTGAAAAACTATTCGAAAACATGCAAAACTTTGTTTTTCTAATGAGCGATTTGCCTCAAATGCAGTGCATGACTTTTTGAAAAGGATATAGATTTCTGAAAAAAATGATTTACTTATAGAAATGTTGATCAGAATCTTAGCTTCAAATGAATCATTTGAATGAATGAAAGAAAATGAATCTGAAAGAAAATGAATCATTTACAAGTGTGCGGGAACTTTTTTGATCACTTTTGATTATAATGCTTTAGTACATAACGGAAGAGGTAGCGATGCCGATTCTAAAGAAAATCCAAGCCGGCTACAACGAGTTGCGAGCGAGGAGAGCACAGTATCGATACGAGGTACCGATGGAGCCGATCACGATGGATACGGTAGGCGGAATAGATTTCAAAGATTTCAGATTTATCTTTGAAATTTGATTTAGACTTTAATCTAGAATTTGATCTAGACTTTAAACTACTTTAGGATCTAAACGTTCCACGCCGAATCACTCACAAGCACGGGTTTCGAATGTTGGCTCACGACAATGAGAATATTGTGAAATTCATGAGAAGCTCTTTCCCAAGATTAAACGAATTCGATCAATTGCAAAGGGTTAGTGAAAACCGCAGAATTACCGCGGCTGCCGGCACCAGACTTGCCCTCTCATTGATCCTCGTTAAAGGGTTTAAATTGTACCCATTTCGATGACTGTTCCCAAAGGGAGCAGTCTCGTTAGTTGTTGTCACTACCTTCTCGAATTGAGAGCAAATTTGCGCGCCTGCTGCCTTCCTTAGATGTGGCAGGCATCTAAGGAAGGCATCCTCTCCGGAAGATGCCTTCTCAGGCATCCTCTCCGGAGTCAAACCCTGATCCTCCGTTACCCGTTACGACCATGGTAGTCAACTAAACTACTATCTTGTTTTCTTAATAGTTTCTCGATTTTAGAAAGTTCTCTACCGATCTTGCTTTGCCAGTTACATGTTGTTCGACTCAGCTTACCGAACTTATCTACAATCAGGCGATGAAAATGATCGGTGAGTATTTTTTTATCAACAAATCATTTCTTGTCTTACTTTCTTGTCTTACTGTCTTGTCTTACTTACTTGTTCTTTTAAAATTTAATTTCAAATTTAAGTTGGTATATCTCTGATGGAAACTATATTGATATGGCTGATGTTGGGTATTATTATTCGGCATTTGAAGGTTCTTCTTTATCACACGCTGATGCATCAAGGTTGGATCTTTTGTACAATAATTTTTAATATAATTTAACTAGTCTTTTAAATGATAATGAACATTTTGCATAAATCTATTGAAGAAAAGGAATACGATAGAATTCAAGCTCTTGTTTCAGTACAATTTGTCAAAAAGCATCACTTCTTTCAAGACTAAATGATAAAAGATTATGTAGTTAAAGAAATTAAAGTTTTATAAACCTTTCCTTTTTGAGAATACTATCAATCGCTTTAGTTTTAGTCTTTTCCGTCCGACTTTCTCTATGTTTGTTCGAAACATTTTACAGCCGATGAAACTTTTGCGAATGACTGGTTAGTTTCATTTTAATTAAATAAATAAGAAAAACACTGATTAATTAACAATTTCTTAACAATATTGTCAAGTAACGATCATTTTTAGATATGGAATTCTTTGCTTTAATTGCCCTGACTTTCTATTCACATGGCGCTGATGGAGGCACCGGGGAAACTGATCAGAAAGCAATGGAAGTCAGAGATGCGATTTTGAGGTGACAAATGAAATCTGAAAAAATGAGAAAGCTTTTGTGTTTACAAGTATTTAAAGGATAAGTATCTTTTTTTTTTAGAGAATTAACATTTTATTACACTCGTTTCGCTTGTTTCAAGGATTACCCATTGAGAATGGCGCAAGTGATGTTGATGTTGCCGTCGATTCATGTGAGTTGAATTTAAAAAGAAATAACTAATGCTAATATTTCTATATTCCAGCTATCTCACATTTGAAAATAAATTTTAGTGATTGTTAGTTGGCACTAACTTAGCTGACAAGCAAGTCTACAGGGTGACCGCGAATTATAGCTCTTTAGAAAAGTCTCTGGGAAATGTCTAACTTATTTCAAAAGTGTCAAGTGTTATATAGAAAATTGTAGCCCTAATCCTTGGCAACATTTCTCTACCAAGAATTTCCCGATTCAACTTACACAACTCATTTAACAAGCGCTTGAATCAGCGCTAGTTAAATCTCTCCGGCGAATCTGTCATTTGGCGACTTCATTAGACATTTTCTCGATATTTTTTCAAAAAGTTGTTGCTATACTTTGCGGTCACTCTATAATGTTCATCTAATCGAAACAGTCCAGATCTTTGCCTTGTCTGTCCTTGCCTGACCTGGGCAGAAGCCTGACTAGACTTGGCTTCTGGCCGTTTGGCTTTAAAACCCTAGGATTCTGATAGGATCACCACTACAGGAGCACTTAAAACCACAAAGAATTCTATTTGAATTAAAGTAACACTTGTTTTGCATAAACTTGAACATTCAATAATTGCTGTCATTTCAGCGAATCACTACTCGTTTCCGCGAAGATGTCGAAATCAATAAACTTTTCAATACGGATTTCGGCGACGAGAAAATCTATGACCTCATCAATGGAAAAGGGCAAATCTGAAGGGAATTTTGTCAAATTTGACTTTAAATCAGTTCTAAGTTTGATTCTGACTGCCAAAAGAAATTCTTACATGTAAATTTTTGTTGAGATTACCCACAAATTGAATTCGCTGCAATCCCAGAGCTTCTTCTCTCTTTGTTGAAAAAGCTGTCAAAGATTATTCGTCAAATGTAAAAATATCTTAATATCTATTCAATATATTATCATTAATTTTGTTGACCTCACAATTATCAGATTCGATATGGTTTATGTTATTTGGTTGTGAAATAAAGTTTAGATATTCTTAAATTAATGAACACTGTAGAGTAGTAAACATGGCTAATTTGGGAGAGTACTTTGTACTACAATCAACGTATACTTCCTGACATACTTAGCTTCTCATAATTAGTCTTTTCTATAGGATTCAACTGGCAGAAAGCAAGGATTAATCAAAAAGCTAAAACTCAAAAAATTCCTGACTAGGGAAGCGTACGGATTGACCACCGAGTTACGACTAGCGACATGGCGCATTGGAGAATTATTGGAAAAAATTAGCTGATTCCGAAAATTAGCCACGAAAGGTTTGTGGAAATCGGTTAAAAATGGCCTCAAAGTTAATGATTTTTGAAAGGCTTTTCGAATTCGAATCGGAAAAATCATGAAAAATTCGGTAACTCGGTGGTCAATCCGTACGCTTTCTGTAAATGCATTTCCGGTAGACTTTTTAATGAATTGATATGTAGTTATTCTTCTTTTTAAATCTTCAATTTTGGGAAGCTAACTCTATTTTGACCGCACTAAACTTGTCCCTAAAGTGACTCGATTCCTTTTTTTGGTCACTCGCATTTCGCCCTCGAAATTTCTTCAATCGTTCGATCGATTGAAACACGTTTTGGCCTATTTTGTAGAGGAGATTTACAACTTTCAAATAGTTTATAACATTCATCGATATCAGGTTTCTATGGTTGGAAATTTATGAAAATGTTGAAATCCGCATTTCTTATGCATGAATAGAATGCTTCCATAAGCTGCTTTTTCTATCTAGTTTTTTGTTTTCCCAATCCCAAGAGTCAAATGTTTTTTTTAAAATAGAAAAATCTCGCCTATTTATGAGCAATATGTTTGGCTCAAAAGAATTTTAACGACAGGCAAAGAGCTCGATTCAAAAGGGAAAAGAAAGGGTCAGAGAGAGCTCTATCTATCGATTGTTTTACGCCATGTTTACTTGACCCCTCTCAACATTTTTCACTTTCCCACCAATAAACATATTGCTTTTTTCTACATTTCTTGAATATTCTGCTTATCGATTGCTAATTTTTAAACGATGAGTAAAGAAAAGGACCCGCTGGAGCCAGATTCAAAGCTCACCGAGCCAAAAAAAGGGAAAAGTCGAACTCAAAAGGTAACTCAAAAGAAAACTTTATTTTAAAAAATGGTCTCCAAAAGCTTAAAAAATATAAAGCAAAATAATTTGATCAATTTAAGGTTGGTACAAAGAAGCTAGTTGTTTTATTAGTTTGAGTAATGAACTATAAAGCAACCAAATGAGAACTATAAAGAAATCAAATAGGAACTAAATAGGAACTAAATAGGAACTATAAGAGAACCAAATATCAGATAAAGGAACCAAATAGGAACTATAAAGTAACGAAAAAGGAACTATAAAGGAACCAAATAAGAACTATAAAGGAACCAAATAGGAACTAAATAGGAACTCAATAGAAACCCAATAGGAACTATAAGGGAACCAAATAAGCACTATAAAGGAACCAAATAGGAACCAAATAGGAACTAAATAGAAACCCAATAGGAACTATGAGGGAACCAAATATGAACTATGAAGGAACCAAATAAGCACTATAAAGGAACCAAATAGGAACCAAATAGGAACTAAATAGAAACCCAATAGGAACTATAAGGGAACCAAATAACACTATAAAGGAACCAAATCGGAACTATAAAGGAACCAAATAGGAACTAAATGGGACTATAAAGGAATGAAGTTCCTTTATAGTTCCTTTATAGTTGGTATCCCTTACTCATTATTTTCTTTTTATTTGCTAGGTTTATTTAAATAAACGTTAAAACGATAAAAATAAAAACAAATTTCGATTTATCTACAAACGATAAAAGAATCAAGGAATGAATCACATAGAATAAAGCAATACAAGAAAAGAAAAAAGAGAAGGAGAAAGCGCAAACGCCAGCTCAAACTAAAGCACCAAAAAAAAATAAAAAAATGAAAAGAATGATGAACGGGAAAAGGAGCACAAAATAGCAAGCGGTCCTTACCGAGTACGGTAGGACAAAGGGTATAAAAAGGCAAAACACTCAACCCTTCTCAGCTCTTGAAATTTCTCAAAACAAGTGCTTTTTCAAACACTGGAGAAGCCATTTTGTGGAAAAAAATAGGGCTTTTCAATAAAACAAACCATTTGTGTTTTGATCGATTCACCGTTTCTAAAACAATCAATGAAAATAGCATACCAACACATAATACTTAATCTAATAATTTTTTTAGGGTTGGTTGAATGTTCGAGCGGCTCTCACAAGCTGGTCTTTTTGGATCTCGGCTCTCTCTACTTTAATCACCCTCATTGCTGCCATTCATTTCACCATTTTCTTCTCAAAAGCGTTGAAAGGATTTGCTAAGCAGGTAACAGAAATTTGCAGAAAAAATGGTTAAACTAGAGATGCTCAATCTTTGCATAACGGCAATTAACTGCTCTTAGCGGTTTTAGCAGCGGCGTTTCCAATTTTAATGAAAACTGTAACATTTTAGAGATCTGTCATTTGATTCCCCGTAATTCAAGCTTTCGATTCCGACCACACATCAATAGACTAACTTTAATGGCTAAATAGATTTTAATCATTTTATCTAAAAAGTCTTTTCATAACGGCAATTAACTGTTTTAGTTTTGCCTAAACTCTATTTTTTTTCTGTCTAGCTTTGATTTTGTTTAGCTTTAAATTATTAATTCTTTTAGATTAACGCCTTTGTGAAAGTGGGTGACTTGGGAAACTCGTTCTTTCAAACAATCGTCACCATCTTTGTGATCGTCTTTGTCGTCTATCTTTTCTTCATCCATCTTGCATCAAGTTTTTATAAATCTTTAAAAAGCGAATGAACATTTTAGCAAAGATCTTCCGGAATTGGCTGAGTGGGTGCGGTACAGCTTGCATTCTCTTCGTTTCCTCGATATTTTCACAGGTAACTGAAGTTGATCGGCTATTGTTAGCTGAGGAGAGTCAACTCTTGCACTCTTGCACTCTTGCAGCTCTTGCAGTCAACTCTAAACATCAACTCTTGCAAATTTCAGATCTTTCTGGTAGCTTGGGTCTTGGTGACGTGCATCGTCTCAGCTCTAACTCTTGTCTATTTCCTCTTCATCGGTGCAATCTATTCCTTCTGTTCCCTAGTGGACACAGAATGTTTCAACTTCAAAGTGCTCATCCCCGCCATTGTGAATCGTTTCAGCAACAATGTGAGTGCTAAATGTCAGAAACTTTATTCATATTCAAAATTCTTCTTCTGATGCGCTTTTCCCGTTTTTAGCGAACCTTTCTTTAGGGCTTTCTTCAGCACTTTCTTTAGCGCTTTCTTCAGCACTTTCTTTAGCGCCTTCTTCAGCACTTTCTTTTCGACATCATCTGCGTCGGGTCGAACTGAAATAAGAAAATTGCAAACTATTTAAACTTCAGCACAAGCACAGGCAAAATTTTCAGAACAAACCGGGTTAGAACCAGGTCCTATAGTGCTAGTTTAAAGATTGGGTCAAGCCCGGGACAAACCAGGATCCGACTTCTGGTCCGAACCACAAACCTGGGTCAGAAACCAAAGCAGAAGGTCAGAATTTAACTTTCAAATCCTTGAATCGCATCTAGTGACACTTGTTATCAAGCGCTTCAGACTTTGCCCCCATGACCGACTGGCTAAGTCTGGTCAACTGGCCGGCTGGTTAAGTCTGGTCGACTGACCGATTGGTTAAGTCTGGTCAACTGGCCGACTGGTATCTTAGTCGGGAGGTCAAGGGTTCAATCCCGCCGCCTAGATTATTCATTCTTTTTTTTATATATATATGGGGGTTTTTCTTTCCTACTTTTACAGTTTAAGGGTTGTGCTTGTGTATTGTTTGTATCACATTATTCGTGAGAAGAAATCTATTTTTAATATTCATGAGACTGTAAGGCAAGTAAGCCCAAGCGGACACCATGGATCAAACCGCGGTCAAGAGTTAAAAATTGAAACAATCTCAGGGTTTTCTTTGACTTTCGACTTTAAAAGTACTTTAACTTTAAACTTTCAAGTTAGAAACACTAGCTTTTACCTACTTTAACTAAAAAAGTAACAGTAAAAGATCGATGTAAGAGATATCGAAGTAAAAGATCGATGTGGAAGTAATCCAAAATTGCTCACCAGTTGTCCGACGGTGTTTCCTGTGTTTTGACTTTCTATTTTTCCTAGAGTTTCCAAGATTTGCATAGCCTAAATGAGGATAAGAAATATATAAGAATCATTTTAAAGCTTTAAAACCAATTCCCCACTTTTCCTTTTATGATGTCCCTTTCTATGGTGACGCTTCACTGTATGATTGCCGTGTTTTTCTCTAAAAATCTTTTCAAGTACTTTAACCCATTCAAACCCCATTGCTTCCATTGCAAAAAAAACAATAAAAATAGTAGAAAAATAAGAGTTTTCAATAACATGATGATAAAAGTTTGGTTTGTGCGATAAAAAGGTGAATGAGCTTAGGCATCGGGCATCGGAAAGTCTTCTCAGAATACCAATTTTCAGATTAATCGTGTAATTCATTCAGGATTGAAAAAAGCTCGATTTGTAACCAAAAGCACTGGTTTTTTTACGTTCTTTAAGTTAAGTATTTTAGATTCTATATTATAATGAAACTTAAAGAATCTAGATTGTATAACAGTTCATTCACTTGATCTTCTCTTCCAACTCTTTGGCTTCAGATAGATTTCTTGGGGTGAAGTGAGATTTTAAATGAAAACACATGCTTTCTGGCGTCTTTTATTTGTAAGTCATCTGATTTCTTATGGCAAACTTTTAAATTAAAACAAATCGATCTACAGGGCGCCATAATTACCCGCACAACATTTCATAGGCAGGTCCACATTGTTAAAAGTGATTTTTTTTCCTCTCTTTTTACTGGACAACATTCTTTTGTAGTTCTTTTGTAGTTTTTTTGTAGTTTAGGCATCGGGCATCGGAAAGTTTTCTCAGAATATCAGAAACCAGAGCGGAATGTCAGAATTTAACTTTCAAATCCAGATTTCAGATCAATCGTGTAATTCATTCAGGATTGAAAAAAGCTCGATTTGTAACCAAAATCACTGGTTTTTTAGGTTTTTTAAGTGTTTTAGGTTTGCTAAATCAAGTATTTTATTTATATTCTAGTATAATGAAACTTAAAGAACCTAGATTGCATGACAGTTCATCCACTTGATCTTCTCTTCCAACTCTTTGGCTTCAGATAGATTTCTTGGGGTGAAGTGAGATTTTAAATGAAAACACATGCTTTCTGGCGTCTTTTATTTGTAAGTCATCTGATTTCTTATGGCAAACTTAAAACAAACCGATCTATAGCGTCATTTCATCTGGAAAAACCAGTGCTTCTCTGGTTTTATAAAGTTAACTGCTAATAAAACTTTAAAAAAAACTACCTATTAATCGATTCATTTATTTCAAAGACACAAAAATAGAAGATAAAACAAACTATCAGAGTTTTTAGAAACATTTGACTTTTGATTGAAACATTTTTGAAATAACGTATTTTCTCTAATAGTAGTGCACCCTGAGCGTTGCTTAAATTGCTCGAAATCTCGAAAACCGCTTATCAGAACCTATCGATGTGAGGTCGGAAAATGTAGCTGACGATGAGATCTAGTGGGAGATTAGAGTGTTGAGCTTCTGGGAAAACTTGAAAACTGTAAAATAGTCATCAACTCGGCTCAGCAAGGTGCCCTACTATTAGAGAAAATACGGTATTTATATCAAGAGCTGGAGTTAATCTTATTGTTATTAAATAGCATTAAATTGTATTTGTAAAATGTAAAAGCCAGTCTTAAAGAAGCTAGACTTAAGTATGTATTACAAGGGAAGGTCAACTGGCTGAGCCGGCCAAATGCTATGTGACCTATACCATTCGACGCAGAATTTTATTCCGAATCTAGCGTATTCTCTCTAATAGTAGTGCACCCTAATAGTAAATTCCTCGAAATTTCGAGGACCGCTTATCAGAACCTATCGATTTGGGGTCGGAAAATGTAGCTGATGATGAGATCTAATGGGGGATTTGAGTGTTGAGCTTCTGCAAAAGCTTGGAAACCGTAAAATCGTCACCAACTCGGCTCGCTGGGGTGCACTACTATTAGAGAAAATACGGTATACACTTTTTCACACAAAACTTTCAGATCTAGCTCTAGATTTTGCTCTAGCTTTTGAATAAGCTCTAGTCTGCTTTCAAATAGACTTTAAATCAATTCAAGTTTGGTTTATGATTATCTATACCGTATTTTCTCTAATACTAGTGCACCCTGAGCGTCACCTAAATTGCTCGAAATCTCGAGAACCGCTTATCAGAACCTATCGATGTGAGGTCGGAAAATGCAGCTGACGATGAGATCTAGTGGGGGATTTGAGTGTTGAGCCTCTGCAGAAGCTTGGAAACTGTAAAATCGTCACCAACTCGGCTCGCCAGGGTGCACTACCATTAGAGAAAATACGGTAGTTTCCCTCAAAATGTTTCAATCACTTGTCTTTCATCGATTTTTTTCCGAAATTGGTTTAATAAAAACGACTAAAACTATTGGAAAACTTTGAAAGAAAGAAATTTTCAATAATTTTTAGCAAATCGACATGACGTTTTGCCAGGATAAGAAGGAAATCTTGTGCAATCGGACGAACAATATGATCGGGAATTTCGGGATCGCTTTGACGATGGCTTTACTCACTTTCTGTGGTAGGTTAAAGATACGGTGATAGCATATCACACTACAGTATACCAAAATAAAAACTATTCATTGACTTATTGGCCCAATATCATATAGTAAATCAGCTTGCTAGGATTTGAGATATAGAAAACGATCGTGTCCGTTCTCTTCAAAAATTACGTTCCTATTTGCATTTAATTTGCGTCGCTTTTTCGTCTCATTCTCTCCCTCCAAATTTCTTTTTTTTATTTTTTCGGCAAAACTTCTGGCTTCTCGTCCTTTTAGTTTTGGAGTTTTACCCACGTTTTTTCGGGATTTGATGTTTCTCTTCACGCGCACGCTGTTTTGTAATGAGTATACATTTCGAGTGCTCTCCTGTGTCTCCCAAAGTGTTCCTCCCCAAAATGCCCCCCAAAGTGTCTCCCTAAAGTGAGTTTGGAGTTTTGCCCTCGTTCTTTCGGGATTTGATGTTTCTCTTCACGCGCACGCTGTTTCGTGCACGCTGGATACACATTTCGAGTGCTCCCCTGTGTCTCCAAAGTGACCCCAAAGTGCCCCTCCCCAAAATGCCCCCCAAAATGCCGCCAAAAATGCTCCCGTCTCCCAAAGTGTCCCCCTAAAGTGAGTTTGGAGTTTTGCCCTCGTTCTTTCGGGATTTGACGTTCATCTGCACGCTGTTTTGCAATGAGTATACATTTCGAGTGCCCCCCTGTGTCTCCCAAAGTGCCCCCCCCCCCAAAATGCCCCCAAAGTGTCCCTGTAAAGTACTTTTTTTCGACGTTTTTTGCCCATAAATTTCTTGAAACTTATTAGATCATCAGATTCATTAGACATTAGATCATTGGATTTGTTTTAATGTAAGAAATAAAATGATAACTAAATCAGTTGAAAAAGTTATGTGCAAAAACGTCGAAAAAAAATACTTTAGGGGGACACTTTGGGGAGCATTTTGGGACGCACTTTGGGAGATACTGGGGGGCACTCGAAATGTATAGCCATTGCAAAACAGCGTGCAGAGAAACAAGTGTTAACCTTATGCTTGATGTTGCGTGTTCTTATTCTTTTGTTTTTGAAAGTTTTGCGGAAATTCGTTTAACCTTTTGTGCTATTCAGCTATTCTGAAACTAAATCATTCCCGATGATAAGGTTAAAGCGAATTAACTAAACAATGACTAAACAATGAACTAAACAATGACTAAACAATGAACTAAACTATGAATTAAACAATGACTAAACAATGAACTAAACTATGAACTAAACTATGACTAAACAATGACTAAACTATGAACTAAACTATGAATTAAACAATGACTAAACTATGAACTAAACTATGAACTAAACTATGAACTAAACAATGAACTAAACAATGAACTAAGCAATGACTAAACTATGAATCTAAACAATGAAGTTATAATAACTAAAAGCCCATTTAGGTTGCCTCATTGTTCAAAATTGTGTCGTTTATGGACTCGGGAAGAAAAACGCAAAAAGTGAGAAGAGAAAAGACGAAAATATCGAAATGGAGGATCTTCAATGAAAAGCTAAAACAATATTAAAACCAAAAAAAATACAAAATCCGTAAAAACAAAATCCCTAATATGATTTGAAATTGATTGAATTTGCTTTCAAATTTCGAGCGACGAAAAATTTAAACTCATTTGCTCATGCTCAACCAAATTACAAGCTTATAACAGTAAAACTTTTTCTAAAATTTAAATCTGTAAACTCTGAGCTTATTTTAAGAGGTTTTTTTAATCTTTTTTCAATAATTGTTTATCTTTTCCCTGATGATTTCCATCTTTGCGACCAAATTTGGATTTTAAATTGTAGGGAAAAGATAAACAAGTACTGTAATGTATTTGTTTATATTTTCTTATAAAAAATAGCATTGGATTTGGATTTGCATTGAATAATGCAATTGCAGAATCAACTCATTTTGCGGGGCAGGCTAGTTTCTACAATTTTCTTTGAGCAACAAGATCATTTGCGCAACTGGGGAACTGCGCAACTTGCCATAACTTTCTTCTAAGTGGACCAATATTTATGATTTTTGGTGTCATTTTGTTGCACTTATTGAGATCTATAAAATGAAACCAAAATCATAAAGATTGGCCGACTTAGAAGAAAGTTATGGCAACTTGCGTAAATGACTCAGTTGGAGAAAAAGAATTGCGAACAGCCAAGGTCTCATTTGTTGCCCTCATTGATACTCTGGGGTTAAAAATTTCATTGAATTCAATGAACAATTTTTAGAGTATGGGGCTTGGATCTTCCCCAACTGTCATTAAGTTGCCATAACTTTCTCCTAAGTCGACCAACCTGATTTTCATTTGTAGATCTCAATAGGTGCAACAAAATGAAACCAAAATCATAAAGATTGGTCCACTCAGAAGAAAGTTATGGCGAGTTGCGCAAATGACCCGCAAATGACCCATGATCCTGTTGCGCAAAAAAAGGGGAAATTAGCCTACCCCTATTTTGCTCACTGTTCCCAAAAAGCTGTCTTTTACACTTTTATAAATGTAAAGTGAAAAATAGGGAAATTAGATGGCACCGTAAATACTGTAATAGTACACCACCCCCATAATGGCGATGCGGAGTGTTGCGTAGTCTAGCTTTGGACGGGCTTTTCTCGACACTGGTTTATGCTACAGTGCGCGCTTAGGTATCAAAAAATAGCTGAAATTCAGGGCTATTTTTTGATACCAAAGACGCATTTTTTGAAAGTACGGGTGCTTTGCAAAAAATTAAATACTATAAAACTTTTGCGACTACGCGACTGTACGAGGGGGGTGGGGTACTATTACAGTATTTACGGTATGTAAGATTTTGGTTGTTTTCTCATTTTATTTTGTCCTTCTTCTGATTGCCTTTGAAATGATTTTGCGGGTATACGAGTTATTTTAAGATTTCCTCTAATAAATGTATAGAATGTTTAGATAATAATTAAATAACACAACTATTTTATCAAATAATATCAAAGCAATCAAATCACACAGCTATTTTAAGCCACATCTATAAACAATTTAAAATCTAGAGTTCAAAGCTAACTAACTGTTAGCTTTGAAGCTAGACTTTTATTATAAAAGCCTTATTTTAAACGTTTATTTTGGCATTTTGATATCAATTACATTAAACATTTCTCAAAGAGATTGCCAGTGGAAAGGGAATTTCTTTTTTGTTCCTTTCGAGAAGAAAGACAAGCAAAAATCGATTATTATCTAGCCTTTTTGTGCCAAATTAGGCTATGAAATCAAGTCAAATAACTTTTTTATCAACTCAATGACTTTGTTTGATTGGTTTTTAAAAATTTTCCTTGGATCTTATGCTTTAGATGAATCCATTTCGAAGATTGTTCTCAATTCAATCGACTTCATCAGCCAGTTATCTTAAAGTAAGCTTTACTGTCTCGAAAATACAAAACTGCAAATCTGTTGTCTTCAAATAACTTTAATATAGGTTTTATTAAACTTTATATGAGTTAAGACTTAACCAATAATGACTAAAACCAATTAAACCTCACTCATGACTGAAAACTCACTATTAGCCAACAAGTCAACAATCGTTGTAAGTCATATTTTACTTTTTAAAGCACCACACAGTTTCTAAAGTAGCCAAGTTAATCTCAGGTTTTAAATCATAAGATTCTCCTTCTAAAGTAGCCAAGTAATCTCAGGTTTTAGATCAATGAACAAGTGAAACAAGCGCTTTTCGAAAAGAAAGGAGTGGTGGCGTTAGAGTCGACGATTATCGCTCACGGAATGCCCTATCCAACAAATCTCAAGTTGGTTAGAATAGGCAAATAGATAAAGAAACTTAATAAACAATAAATGCAATGGCGAATTGATTGGAGTTTAGCACTGGACACGAACTGGAGGAGATCATCCGATCTGAGGGAGCAGTGCCGGCCACAATTGCAATTATGGATAAAAAAGTATGTAAACTCCAGGAGTATTTCTAATGTGCAAATGCAAATGAATCACAACAATTTTAGTATGCAAATCTTGTAGTAAAAGCTCTATTCTATTTCTAGATCCACATCGGTCTTTCCGAAAGAAAAATGGAAAGAATCGCTAAATCGAAAGATGCTTTGAAAGTATCAAGGAGAGATATTGCGAAATGTTTGGCTATGGTGGGGGAAATCTTGTGATTCAATAGCTAGATTAAAAAGCATAAAACTACAATCATATTGTAAACTTATAGAACTCAGTGGGTGCCACAACAGTCGCATCAACGATGTGGGCGGCTCATCAAGCCGGCATTCGTGTATTTGCCACTGGAGGGATTGGAGGCGTTCATCGATATGCAGATCAAAGTAAGAGATTTAACAAACCTTTAAGAGTTTTGTAAGTACATTTATTAAGACTATTTTCACATTGTTGAGAATAAGCGATTTGGCAAAAACAAATTCCTTCTAGAAAAGAAGTCATGACCAGGGCCAATTATTAGGTTGTTCGGATATAAATGAGCGTTTGCACTGCTTAACTCGTGAGGAAGCCATTTCTCGCATCTGATCGTCTTTCCTATGGCGTGGAGATGCTCGTCAATGGTAGAATTTGAACATAGAAACTGTTGAGCAAGTCCACGCGTCGTTTGACATGGATCCAATTCGATTGCAGCCCTCAAAGTATCGTTGTCTACCGCTTAAGGTCGACGAGAGTGTTCATCATCCTCGAGACTTTCATCACCATTCCGAAAGCGTTGGAGCCAGACTCGGCATCAGCTTTCGGACAATACATCATTCCCAAATGCTTTGACCAAATCTCAATGGGATTCCACGACTGTTTTGCTCAGTTTAAAGTCGTAAAGTACTTTATATATCTCGTCATCTAAAGCAAGAAAAAAGATCTTAAAAATAAGAAATTATCCGTTTAAAAAGATTCCAAATATACACAAGATAACGTACTTTTAAATACAGAAAGACATATTTTCAAAGCTTTCCTCACAACAATAAATTTAGCAACGCTTGTTTATATCCGAACAACCTAATACTAAGCTATCTAAAGCTTATTAAAAGATTTCTGATCTGGCCAGTGTAAGGTGTTTAAAAAAGAGCTGCAAGTTGGACAAAATAGTGCCCTCCTCCGTTAAGCGATAAGATCCGAGTTTCCTAAACAAGCTTGGCTTTTGGCTCAATAGAATATCCTTTTATGATATTTTATAATCAAATCTTATATTACGATGTCATTCTTAAATTTTAGAAATCACCTTCATTCCTTTTCAAGCAAGAAAAAAGATCTTAAAAATAAGAAACTATCCGTTTAAAAGGCGTTCAAATATGCAAAAGATAACGTACTTTTAAATACAGAAAGACATATTTTAAAAGCTTCCCTCACAACAATAAGTTTAGTAACGCTTGTCCGAACAACCTAATAGCTAGTTTTTGGTAGGATCAAAGATTTTGTTTTGGTTTCCAGTTGACTAACGATAATCCTAAGTCCTAGGGCTTCCGACCAAGCAAACCTGATCATGAGTGTCACCGGGAAATTTCGGAAACTCTTTATTCTCTTTTCTCTAGGCCTTAATAATCTAATTTACAATTATTATTCTAAAGGAAAATGAGCTGAATCTAATCATGTTCTTTTTGTCTTTTTTGGATGAACTTCTGTTAAGATTTAGTTGAACTGATTTTCAGGAATTCCTGAATCGGGATAATAGTCGATAGGAGCGTAGTAAACGACGAAAAAAGCTTGTATCTGAAAAATCATTAATCCAATCTAGACAAATCAGTTGATTCAGCACTACTCTACAAGAATATTAATAAATGAAAGTAGTTAGACTTCTAGAGGGAAATTTACGAAGGTTTTTCCCGGGTTCCCGAAACAAACTCTTCAGATCTGACTTCTAGCGGACTCAGACGCTGTAGACAAGGTTTAAGTAAGTATGATTGAAGTAAATCTATAAAAATCTTGAAATTAATTGAACTATTAATTGAATTCTTTCAATTCTTCAACTTATTTGATTAAACTTTTCAGCATTCGATATCTCAGCCGATCTCCAAGAACTCGCTACAACACCAGTGACGGTGGTTTGTGCTGGCGTTAAAAGCATTCTCGATATCCCGAAAACCGTTGAATACCTGGTAAATTCAGCTATAATAATTGAAAATCGAAAAATAGAAATAGAAAAATTCGATTAAAACATATTATTTTGAAAATTAGGAAACACACAGCGTCAACACAATTGTCTACTCGGAGAAGAACGCTTTCCCGGCTTTTTTCACTCAAGAATCCGGATCAAAGGGACAATTCAACACCAAAGATCTTGAGAAAGTCGCTAGAATTATAGGTAAATGTGTTATTTTTCTATAAATTGTAAAGTTTAGAAACTTCAAAACAATTGGGCCTACCAGCCGGAACGATTTTGGCTTGTCCGATTCCATTGGAGCATTGCGGAGATGGGAGATTGATTGAAGAAGCGATACAACAAGCGCTAGAAGAAGCAAAGTAACAGTTTTTAGAGAAGTAGCTAGTAGCTGAAATAGCTGATAAAAAGACACTAACTGGCTAAATTCTTGATTCACAAGGATTCTTGATTCCTCATTTCGATTAGGTGAAAATATTGCAACATATCAGAAGTGTTTTGCACAAAATTTGAAAAGGAAACGAGCTTCTGACCTTAGTGGTGTTTTTGACAAACGCTTCCTAGCAGGTTTTATTATCTAGAAAATATAAGGAACATCTATTCTGTAGTAAAATCGGGAAAATGTGGGCGTTTCCCAAACGTTTGCAGACTTGGCTGAATGCCGATGGAGGCAAATTTGACTTTAAAGATCTTTTTATCCAATCTTTCTAATTTAAAAAATTTAACAAAATTATTAATGATTCTGCGTTGAATGATACCAAATACTTGATGGTTGGACGCGTCCGGACTAGAGTGTGTTCCTTGCAGATAACGCGCTAATCGGATCATCAACTGGACTGCTTGGCACTTGCTTCAAACTTCTAAATGATTATTGTCCCTGATTGGGAGAATTTTCGAGCAACAAAAAGTCTCAACTATGCTTACTTACTTTCATTATCGATAATTATCTAGATCACTACAACTAGATAAATTGAAAACCCGACTCTGCTCACATTCATCCCTAATCAGTTGTCTGCCTGTCAACAAGGAGCACACTCTAGTCCGGACCCACTCATTCATAATCGGCTACGACATTTAAACTCGACTCTACGGAACTCTATATAACGGAACTCTTTATAGCGGAAAACTCTAGATAACTGAATGGAATTTTGGTCCCGTTGAGCCTGAGGAACCAAATAGGAACCAAATAGGAACTAGAAATAACTAGATAGGAATCAAACAGGAACCGAATAGGAACCAGCTAGGAACCAAGTAGGAAACAAAGAGGAACCAACGCTAAGCTATATAAAACGGCACTCTATATAACGGAAACATTTTTTGGTCGCTTCCATTCCTCTATAGTCGACTGTAATAGAATATGGATACTTTTCGATTAGGGGAACATATTGCAACATATCAGAAGTGTTTTGCACAAAATTTGAAAAGGAAACGAGCTTCTGAACTTGGTGGTGTTTTTGACAAAAGCTTTCTAGCAGATTTTATTATCTAGAAAATATAAGGAACATCTATTCTGTAGTAAAATCAGGAAAATGTGGGCTTTTTCCAAACGTTTGCAGACTTGGCTGAATGCCGATGGAGGCAAATTTGATTTTAAAGCAGAAAAAACGCAATAAAACATACAAATACCAAATTTGCATTTAAAATTTCGCCCCTTTATGGTTCTGTTCGATTCGAGGGGACAAGAAAGGAAAATTTTTTGCATATTTTGTCCCCATTTTTGTCAAAATATATCGAAATATGTAGCACTTAAATGTCTTTAAAAATATTGCTAAAAAACAATTTCCAGAGCTGAGAACATCACCGGCCAAGCAGCTACTCCATTTCTTTTGTCTCGAGTCAAAGAACTTACTGGAGGGAAATCACTGGAAGCTAGTAAGTGATCTATTTATTGCAAAATCAGAAAACTTTTCAGATGTCGCTCTGGTAAAGAACAATGCCAGGATTGCAGCCAGATTAGCGAAGATTTTGGCTGAAAGATCTTCGTCACCAGCTCCAAGTGGGACTATTTGCTTTGCTCCACCGAAGAAGATTCAAGAAGCGAAAAAGAAGCCACGAGTGGTGAGTTCGAAGTATTCCCTCATCCTTAAATTTACTAGAAAATTGTTTGAACTTTGGTTTGGGATATTGTAGTGATTATTGGTGGTTTAGATATAATCTTTATTACAACAATAATAGTTGGTTCAGTGGTTTGGGATTGGGAGAATAGAGACGACTCCACGGCACACCTCGGCAGCTCGTTCACATTGCTTTTATACAGTACTTTGGCGTTGGTCTCGTCTTGCATATAATGAAGCCGAACGGATAGCGATGCATATTAAATCTTGCACAATAGGCGTTCGCCCACATAGGTGTCTAGCTGGCCATTTCCATACGTGGTGATCTCGATCACGAGATCGTCACGACAGATATGGAGACCTAGCGTAGAAAGCCCATTTTGAAATTCTAAAGGACACAGTTTTACTCCATAAAATCCAGTTTTCGAGAAAAATGCTTTGGAAGTTTGGACACTTTTTGAGAAAACGGCGCCACTGCCTTCTGGAGACGAAATTACTTTCCCCTGAGCAGTGACTGATTAGTGTAGTGTGCTTGGCGGGTAGTGTGCTTGGCGGGTAGTGTGCTTGGCGGGTAGTGTGCTTGGCGGGTAGTGTGCTTGGCGGGTAGTGTGCTTGGCGGGTGTGTGCTTGGCGGTGGTGTGCTTGGCGGGGTGTGCTTGGCGGGTGCGCGGGGGTGCTGGCGGGTGTGCTGCGGGGGTGCTGGCGGGGTGTGCTTGGCGGGTGGCTTGGCGGGTGTGTGTTGGCGGGGGTGGCGGGGTGTGCTTGGCGGGTGTGTGCTTGGCGGGTGTGCTGGCGGGTGTGTGCTTGGCGGGTGTGTGTTGGCGGGGGTGTGCTTGGCGGTGTGTGCTTGGCGGGTAGTGTGCTTGGCGGGGTGTGCTTGGCGGGTGGGTGGGCGGGTGTGCTGGCGGGAGTGTGCGGGGGTGTGCTTGGCGGGTAGTGTGCTTGGCGGGTAGTGTGCTTGGCGGGTAGTGTGCTTGGCGGGTAGTGTGCTTGGCGAGTAGTGTGCCTGGTGGGTAGTGTGCTTGGCGAGTAGTGTGCTTGACGAGTAGTGTGCTTGGCGGGTAGTGTGCTAGGCCAACACACCGTTTGGGCCTGGTTCGAATCCCCCCACTGCCACTTACTTTTGCCACCACTTCTACATCTACATCTAAAGTATCTACAAACAGTAAGAAGTTGCTGGAGATGGCCAAAGATGACTCTCCAGACTTTCGTTGAAAATGTACCATAATCAAAATTATGAGCCTTATCAGGATCCTCAATCTCGACCATTCGTTAACCTATATATGTTAGAGCAATTCCCCAGTTATTAAGTTGAGCAATAGGTTGATAACAATAACAATTCAACAATTTGCTAACAATTTTTGTTTTTTGTTTCATCAAAGAGCAACTGTAGCTTTTTATATGTTTTAAGATGACACAAATTGCCTAGCTTTGTGCAAAGTTTCATCCCGTTCTATTGGCTGGATTTCAAGCAGGAGTCTTTTATTTTAAACCAGTCGATTCTGATCTAGACCACAGCGCACAAAAAGAGCTGCTATAAACACCCGATCTGTCATAAAGATTAAGATTTCATTCTTCCAGGTGACTCTCGGTGCAGCAATTTGCGACTTTGAGGCAATCACACAAGAAAACGTGCAAGTTTGTTGAAAATTTATTTGTTTTAATACATCATATCAAAATTTTAAAAAGGCACCAAGATTTGCTGAAACCGTTTTTATCTAAATCATGCTGCAAAAATGTTTGTCTCTGGTGGAGTAGCGTCAACATAATCCATTTCATCCTCGTCATCCCAGTGTCTAAAGATTTATTAGGTTTTGTAAAAACTCGAGAACTTTCTAGAATAATAAATAATATTGGGTTGGTGAATTGAAAACTGCGGGACTTTGAACTAAAATTTCTTCAACATAAAACCATGAATTCATTCCAAATAATTTCCATTATTATTGAAGACTTCTGCCCATTTTACAGGCAATTTGCGGATTCCTCTTTCGTAGTAGGATTTTGGTTTGTGTGTGAGACAAGTGTGAGACTCAAAAATGGAGGACTGGAGATGTTAGCCGTCAGCCCAGTTCGAGCACTTTCTTCAAAAGAAACCCATTTTGGTGTCAATAGAAAAGTTGTAGAGAATCAAAAATTAGGCTTATAGCCAAATTTTCAGAACGATTCAAAAACTGGTTTTCAAGAAAGGCTGTGTTTCTACTTGAGCACAAGTACGCCAAAGTTTAACGAACACAATAGCTTTCCACAATGCACAACGATTTTTCTTTACCTCTAGATAAACGGATCGCTACTAATCGAGGATCTTAAGGAAACGATTATACAAAAATCCATTGTTTAGCAAAAGATTTCACTCACTTGTATAACTTTGCATTGTTCGAATAGACGATTTCCGAGAAAAGCGCTCCAATGTCCTCTCTGAAATTGCTTATTTGAAAAAAGAGCTTAAAAAGGAGGCAAGCAAATGAAGATTTCTAGTTTCTAATTTCTTAATATCTTTAGCTCTCATTACTTAAGCAAAAATTAACTTAACTTAACGTAAATACTGTAATAAATACTGTAATTGAAGGCCACGATTTTTCTGGAGATTCTTTTGGTGTTTGCTTTTGGATTAATGCTTTTCTAGGAGCTTTAAGAAGAAAAATGTTCATTAGAGAGGGGAACTTGTAGGAGTTGAATTGGAGAAAAAAACTCGTGAAATCTAAAAAATAACTAGTAAAGTCCAAGAGTCAAATACCAGTGTTGTTTAAAATTGGAAAATATTTCTACCGTAAATACTGTAATTGACGGGCACGATCTTCTATTTTTTTCCTATCTTTTTTCGAACTCCCCAAAAAATCACTTAAGGCCTTAAAACTTTTAAGGCCACTTAAAACCACATAAAATTTCTTCCAAAATTCTTTTAAAATCACGCTAGCTCTATTGGAAATGCTCTAAAATCAACGAAAAACCGGTTTAAAAGGTTTTTTATCAGCAATGATCCCAGACTCCCGAAAATGATAAGGCCCTTAGGCCAAAGAATTTAAATTTTACTGTCAACCCTTCTAGGTTATACATACGATCCATATCCATCATTCTAAGCACTTTTCATCCAAACTCTTTTTCAAAAGTAGTGACTTTTTGGGCGACCAATTTTATATGGGAAGGATGCCCGTCAATTACAGTATTTACGGTAAGCAAATCTTGACTTAACCTAAGCAAAAATTCACTTAAGTTGAGCAAAACTCACTTATCTTGAGCAAAACTCAACTTAAGCAACACTTAACTTAAGCAAAAATTGACTTAATTTGATAAACTTTACGTGTAAAGTCTGTTAAAGTCGGGCGCAAGTCGGTCTATTCACATCTAAAGCCTTGCTCAACAGGTTAAAACCAACAAAACTTGAGGTTTACTGTAAAAACTTGTTAATCCTAGTCCTCATAAGCAAGCAAGGTGAATAGATCAATCTGCCGGCCAATTCTTAATGGGGAAGTGGTTAACAGTCTTGGCTAACGTCTTGTCTTGAAAAACCCTTGTCTTGTCTTTGTCAAGCCTTTGTCTTGGCTAATGATCCAAAGATCGTTAGCCAAAACAAGGATTCGATATCGGTTGGGACTCTTAAAATGTTTGAGGCTTGAAAAAAGGACAAGGATTTACTTTCTTAATAACTTCATATCTTAATTTTACTATTAGTTTGGAAAGAAAGTTCTCGAAACTTGAATTTGACTGTAAAACTTGTTAACCCTAGTTCGCAAGCCTCTAAAGGTGAATAGATCGATCTGCCGGCCAATTCTTAATGGGGAAGTGGTTAACAGTTTTGGCTAACGTCTTGTCTTGAAAAACCTTTGTCTTGTCTTTGTCAAACCTTTGTCTTGGCTAATGATCCAAAGATCGTTAGCCAAGCCAAGGATCCGATATCGGTTGGGACTCTTAAAATGTTTGAGGCTTGAAGAAAAGACAATGACTTACTTTCTTAAATATCTTAATATCCTAATTTTATTAGATAGAAACTAACTTCATTTGTTATAAGTAAACTCACCTCAAAACAAGTACCACGACTAATTTCAATGGGAAAAGCATGAAGAAAATGATCACCCCAACGAAATCCGTCTTTTTGTGCATCCATCTAAAATTCCTAAGTAGATAAATTCAGATAGATAACTCTATAAGTAGATAATTCAGGGAATCACAAAAATTTAGTACAAATGCAGTTATCCTGACTCCTTTACTTACCTCAAAATATGAGCATTGCAAGGTTTTTCCTCGTCAAAGCAACTCGTTTCATTAGCCCATTGTGGAGCTAAATCTATGATATTTAAACTTCATAAAGCTTCTAAAGCTCTGAAATTTTAACCCAACGCACTTTGATCACAAAATTGCTCAATTCTTTTTGGGGGACAACAGTCGAAATTTTGTTGCAGTGATTCCCAAATTGAGCAGAACAAAGTATTCTTTGAAGTCACGTGCTCATCGATTTTCTGATCGAAATGTGAATGAAAAGTGGAATGGACATTCTAAAGATAGACTTTTGAATATATTGATTTTAACAATGAAAAGATTTGGTCAAAAAGTTAATGGAAAAAGATTTCTTGGGCTTTTCCGAGGAACAGTTGGATCTTATAGCTTAACGGGACACTTTTTAAGTTGTTTCCGTATTTTAGTTATGTTTTTTGTGGCTAACTTTTGATAAAACAAATATTTTCTTAAAGCTGATATATTAGGTTGTTCGGATTTAACTGCTTAACTCGTGAGGAAGCCATTTCCCGCATCAGATCGTCTTTCCAATGGCGTAGAGATGGAGTAGAATTTGAACATAAAAACTGTTGAGCAAGCTCACGCGTCGTTTGACATGGATCCGATTCGATTGCAGCCCTCAAAGTATCGTTGTCTACCGCTTGAGGTCGATGAGAGTGTTCATGATCCTCGAGACTTTCATCCCCATTCCGAAAGCGTTGGAGCCAGGATCGGCATCGGCTTTCGGACAAGGCATCATTCCCAAATGCTTTGACCAAATCTCGATGGGATTCTGCGACTGTTTTGCTCAGTTTGAAGTCGTAAAGTAGACAGACGCGAACTTTATATATCTCGTCATCTAAAGCAAGAAAAAAGATCTTAAAAATAAGAAATTATCCGTTTAAAAATATTCCAAATATACACAAGATAACGTATTTTTAAATACAGAAAGACATATTTTAAAAGCTTTCCTCACAACAATAAGTTTAGCAACGCTTGTTTAGATCCGAACAACCTAATACTAAGCTATCTAAAGCTTACTAAAGACTCCTGATCTGACCAGTGTAAGGTGTTTAAAAATGAGCTGCAAGTTGGACAAAAAAAAGTGCCCTCCTCCGTTAAGCGACAAGATCCGAGTTTCCTAAACAAGATTGGCTTTTGGCTCAATATCCTTTTATCACATTTTATAATCAAATCTTATATTATGATGTCATTCTTAAATTTTAGAAATCACCTTCATTCTAAACATCAACAAAACGGCCATGACAATGTCGAAAAAGAGTAGAGGAATCATGAGAAGCCAGTAGACTTTGAGGAGAGTCTTATTTGAGCAAAGAACACCCAGAATTCCCACAATGCAAGCAAAATACTGAAAAGTTTTCATTTAGCAAGAAAGCTTCATCTAAACCTTCACCTGTACAGCAATTTGGAGCTCTAATGCAATGATCGTTGGGTGATTTTGCTCGAATGGTATGAAATCCCAGAATTGATGGGTGAACATTCGTTGGAGCCAGAAGACCATCATGGTCTAAAATAGAGTGTGTTCCTCGCGAGTAAGTAGTTACTCGAGTAAATTTGCATAAGTAATTGTCGAGTAATGCGTTTTCTAAAAAGTGCGCCTGCGCGAAAAAAATATAAAAGCAATTTTTTGCGCAGGTTTTGGGGTAGGCTAATTTGCGTCAAATTTTTTGCGCAACTAGGTTCTTTGCGCAACTCGCCATAACTTTCTTCTACGTGGACCAATCTTTATGATCTCTAATTGGGACCAATCTCTAAGTGGATCAATCTCTATGATTTCATTTTGTTGCACTTATTGAGATCTACAAAATGACATCAAAATGATAAAGATTGGTTCACTTAGAAGAAAGTTATGACAACTTGCGTAAATGACCCAGTTGGGGAAAAAGAATTCGCGCAAAGTTACCCTCAATACTCATAAAAGTATCATTGATTTCAATGAACAATTTTTAACCAACCAGAAGTATCTCAATAATTGCAACAAAATGAAACCTATAGGCTAGTTTCCGCAAATTTTTTTGCAACAGGGTCATTTGCACAACTCGCCATAACTTTCTTCTAAGTGGGCCAATCTTTATGATTTTGGTTTCATTTTGTTGCACCTATTGAGATACTTCTGGTTGGTTAAAAATTGTTCATTGAAATCAATGATATGTTTATGAGTATTGAGGGTAACTTTGCGCGAATTCTTTTCCCCAACTGGGTCATTTACGCAAGTTGCCATAACTTTCTTCTAAGTGGGCCAATCTTTATGATTTTGGATTCATTTTATAGATCTCAATAAGTGCAACAACAATTTAACAAAGTATTTGTCAGCTTTTGGCTTAAAAATTTGTACCCGAGAGTTTTCTGTTCCGAATCTGTTAATCTTAAGAAACTTTAACTTTAAAGTCAATAAAAGCATAGCAAAACTCTGAAAACTTGGGTAATTAAACCAAATTGAAGAAAAGAGAGCAAAACTGAATTTGCGCTCTGTTTTATATACCTAGAGGCTGTACCAGAGGCTGCGCGATTCCATAAACATAAAACTTTTCATGTTTTTCATGCCTTCTAGCACACTGTTCTAGATGTGGGTAATTAATCCGGATAAAATATCCAAAAACAGAGCAGCTTTTCCGCGAATTTAATAACGATTTCAAAATCCTCAACCTCGAAAACCCTGGACGCCTATTTTTCAGTTCAATCGGCTCTATAAGACGCTCTCTATTTAAGCTAGAGAGAGCGCTCTATGAGACGAAGCTCTATAATATGACGTTTGGTCACTAGTGACGTACATTTTTGCGAATGTTTTAAAGAAACGAAGGAATTGGCAAGAAAAAATTGATTTCCGGAGATGGAATTGAACCGTCGACCTTTTGCTTTCCTTGCTTTTCTTTTGCTCTAACCGCTGAGCTATTCGTTACCTTAACTTGCCGGGAGAAAGAAGGAAAGACAAGGGGAAGAGAAAAGAAAGAAAGAAAGAAGATATTACCTGAAAAACGATGATCAAACTGTTGATCGAGTAGATCCACACTCGATAATACCTCACCGGTTTCATTTTCGAGTTTCCCGGTTCACCATTTCGAAATGAGAAAGCCATTTCTTTTTTCTTGAAATTCAGATCTTTATTTTCAATTTTACTATGGGAATTTTAGAGAAAAGGAGAAAAAAAATCAATTTTGAAACATTTTGAAGAAAAAGAGGAAAAAGTGTGACAAGTTATTGTCAATGAGAAAAAAGATATTATAAAAAACAAAAATATGCTGAAGATTTATTAGATATTTAATTGAAATATTAAAATTTTCGATTTAAAATCAAATTTAAACTTTATTTGTCGATTTGGGGGAATCTGGGGAACCACGTCTCCTTCAAATCCCCACAAATCCTTTGAGGACGCAACAAACCCCCGAAATTTCCCCTTGAAATCCGAGATTTTCTTTTTCGTATGTTTAAAAGTTGCAAAAAGATTTTTAAAGTTTTAATCTATGAATTGTTTTTGATGTCAAATAGAGCAAATGGAGCTAAATTTAGATCATCGAAGTTTCAGAAAAACTCCCATAGCAAGAGAATCAGTTTGATTGTTTGGGCACCACTTTATCTAAAAAACTTTTCGAATCTGTATTGCTCTTGTTCTTAATTTTTCTCCTTGGCTAACTGCCAGGATGTTAGATTTGAGGTTGTAAACGGTTTAGTACGTAAACGTATACCGTATTCTATCTAATAGTAGTGCACCCTAAGCACTGCCTAAATTCCTCGAAATCTCGAGGACCGCTTATCAGAACCTATCGATGTGGGGTCGGAAAATGTAGCTGACGTTGAGATCTAGTGGGGGATTAGAGTGTTGAGCTTCTGCAAAAGCTTGGAAACCGTAAAATCGTCATCAACTCGGCTTTGGAGTGCACTACAATTAGAGAAAATACGGCATTTATATCAAGAGCTGGAGCTAATCTTGTTGTTATTAACTAGCATTAAATTGTATTTGTAAAATGCAAAAGCCAGTCTTAAAGAGGCTAGACTTAAGTATGTATTGCAAGGGAAGGTCAACTGGCTGAGCCGGCCAAATGCTATGTGACCATTCGACGTAGAATTTTATTCCGAATCTAGCGTATTCTCTCTAATAGTAGTGCACCCTGAGCATCGCCTAAATTGCTCGAAATCTCGAGAATCGCTTATCAGAACCAATCGATGTGGGATCGGAAAATGTAGCTGACGATGAGATCTAGTGAAGGATTAGAGTGTTGAGCTTCTGCAAGAGCTAGGAAACCGTAAAATAGTCACCAACTCAGCTTGCCAGGGTGCACTACTATTAGAGAAAATACGGTATACTTACTTGTTGTCTATTAAAGGGATACTCTGATCTAAAAGTTGTCTTTCAAGAAGTATTAGAGAAAATACAGTATTACAGAGAATACGGTACTCAAGAAATGGAGAAAAAGATCAGAACCGGGAAAAAAACTGAACGGAATCAAGATTTTTAAGTTCTTATCCAAAATAGATTCTAGCTCACTCATTTTAGACTAAACTTAAAGCTTTCAGCGTTTTTATTTTTTAATTATCAAGTATATTTAAAGGTATTGTTCAACATTAAGTCTTTAAGTTTAACACATTTCTTTGTCTCAGCTTTTTATGCTTTTTGTAAGGGATAGGCTGGGGCCCTACGGAGTTCAAGGAACCATGAACGTTGTACTTTTTATGTTGGTGCCAATGATCGTTGCCTTCCTTTGCATAACACCACTCGGATGGCCGTCAGCTTTTTATGCTTTTTGTAAGGGATAAGTTTAGTTTACTTGAACCAGCTCTATTTCAGCAATAACAGTCTTTTTGTATATAATACTGGGATTTTCTTTGTCTCAAATCATCCGTCATCAAACCGGTTCATTTCGGAACGAGAGAGGGAATATTTGGAGAAAGAGATTGATTTCCATAGTGGTGCCAAGGGGAACCACGAGGAAAAGGTCGGAGTTTACGGTAACGATATTGAATGATAAATCAAAGATAATTAAAGAACATAAAGCAATACCCAGAAATCTTCTGCAGTATTCAACGAAAAACTCAAAAGACTTCTACCATAGATCAAAGTAAAAATCAAAAATAGAAATCACGTGAACTTAAAACAAAGCTAAAACCGAGTCTTTACTAAAATCGAATCAAACGAACTCGTTTAGTTGAACTTTTGTTCATTTTTGGTGAGAAGTTGTGAAGAAAAGGGGTAAAAAAAAGCGTAAAGAGGGTATCATCGAAATCAAATTTTCTCTATCTCTTCAAAAGGCTGAGAAAAAAGAAAACGAAAAAGAATGTATAAAAGCTTCATAATCAAGTCAAAGTTTTAAATTTTTTTTACTAAAAACTTGAATTTTAATAGATTTTAAGTGGAACCGGGCTCAATAAAGCTTATTCAATAATTCAATAATCAATAGAGATCAATCGATCAATAAACAATAATTTAATAATCAATAGAGAATATTTTGAAAGCCAATTGGTTAAACAAAATCATTAATAAACTATTAAAAGAATGGTTTAGTTTTACATTTTTTTTTTGTTTAAAAATTGAATTTATACTTTAAAGAATCAGTTTTTTTAGATAAACTTATCGGGCAAAGTTTGCAAATAGAAAAATGGATTACTGTGACAAAAATCTCACAAATACGAGAATTTTTAGCTTATCTGGGGAGTGGGACAAATGCGACCTTTTTTTTTGCGACCCGGACATTTGCGCACCTTTTTTTCCGCACCTTGCCCTTTAGCGCACCTTTTTCGTGTTTTAAAAAAGCTCTAAAAAGCTAATATTAACCAATTTCTATTCCAAAAGTTGTTTTTCTAGGTAATTTTAGGGCGTAGAATCGAAATTTTGACATATCAGAGCTTGTGGTTACAAACGGACGGAGTTATACAATTTGATCTAGCCGTTTTATCTTTCAAATTGGTTCTGTTATGTCAAAATTTGAATTCGACACCCTCAAATTACCTAGAAAAACAACTTTTGGAATAGAAATTGGTTAATATTAGCTTTTTAGAGCTTTTTTAAAACGCGAAAAAAGGTGCACTAATGGGCTAAGTGCTGAAAAAAAGGTGCGCAAATGTCCGGGTGCGCAAAAAAAAGTTCGCATTTGTCCCACTCCCGCTTATCTGTGCTCTCTAATTTGCAATAAACTCTAGAATGAGATGAGAAAGTCTAGAAAATAGATAAATAACGTAATTTCTGATATACTGTCTCACTATTATATGTAGTGTTAAAAAGCATTTAGATCTGGTAGACTGTATTAGACTTGAAAAAGACTTGACGAGTCCCCTATTAGCTCACTTTATCATTTTTTATCTCATCCTTGTACTAAACAAATAATGTATGTGAGCTTTGCTTTATGTTCTTTAATTATCTGCGATTTATCATTCAATATCGTTACCGTAAACCCCGACATTTTCCTCGTGGTTCCCCTTGGCGCCACTATTGAAATCAATCTCTTTCTCCAAATATTCCCTCTCTCGTTCCGAAATGAACCGGTTTGATGACGGATGATTTGAGACAAAGAAAATCCCAGTATTATATACAAAAAGACTGTTATTGCTGAAATAGAGCTGGTTCAAGTAAACTAAACTTATCCCTTACAAAAAGCATAAAAAGCTGACGGCCATCCGAGTGGTGTTATGCAAAGGAAGGCAACGATCATTGGCACCAACACAAAAAGTATAACGTTCATGGTTCCTTGAACTCCGTAGGACCCCAGCCATCCAGCAGTTAACCTCCGGCTATAAATTCCGAGTGCCCCTCCCCGCCCCCTGAGTACCCCCCTAAGTGCCCCCCTTGCCAGAGGCATTTTGCGTTTTTCTCGACGCACAATTTACCAATTTTGCTGTTGTTGCTTTCATTGGATAGAGGAGAGTCAGACGCATCGAATGAAACCAAAAACAGCCCAATTTTGCATTGAGAAAAACGCAAAATGCCTCTGGCAAGGGGGGGTGGACACTCGGAATTTACCTCCGGCGTTAGCCGAAGGCTGACCCCTGGATGTTCATATAAAGCGGAAGTGATCGTTTTGAATTTTAATCTCTCATTCTCATTGAAAGCTCAAAATTGAGTGGCCAAAGAGATTTCTTTCCTATCCATAAGAAAACTTATCATAAGAATAAAACCTAAAAGTACATGCTTTAAACTTTTAAATAAATGAAAAAGATAAAAGAAATAGCTTATGAGTTTTTCATTGAAAAGAAAACCTTTGGTCAGTTGGAGAATTTGCCGCCTCTTTTCTCTCAAATTTACTCAAAAGCTTTTCACGGAGTCTCGCTTTCAAAAAAAGAAAAGAATGAAACGGTTAACTTTAAGTAAACACACAAACATTTTGAAAGAAATACAGAAATTTCAAGCACAAGTTTCAGAACTTTAGCCTCGAAAAAAAGAAATTCGAATTTAAAGGGTCATTTTGAATAGAGAACACAACATTTCCGGGAACGGAAACAATTTTCGTTTTGTTTCAGAATTTGATTGGGTTCAATGGGGAATTGCTTGTTATCAATGAAACTGAAATGAAACAATATTCAAGAGTTTACCCAAATGAACGTTTAGATTTCAAGAGTTTAACTAATATGAATGGATTTGAGTAATCTCAAATCCATTCATAATCTCAAAACGAGCGGTAGTGCTATTGTTTCGTGTTTAAGAAATAAAAATAAATGAATTGTAATGAAGTTGATGGTTTTAAATTGATAAAAATGGTTTTAAGTCGAAAAAACTGTTGAGTGTTGTTTTAAATTACATGTGTACATGTGAATTTTAGGCTGATGGTGGCTCCTATCCGGGAATCGTCACCCAACGTCCGGGAGGAGTTGGGAGAAATCATGCTGATGTGCTGGCTAGGTAAAAAGAGAAATTAGATTGAAAATTAAAACTTAGGTTGAGGAAAAGAATAATGTTTTTTGGGTGTAACAATCTATTGCATTCTACAAGAAATAGCAACGATCAATCAGTAAAATATTCTCGATTTTTATCGATGACTTCTTCCAATCTTCGTTGCAAGTCTTTGATTCCATTTGCAGAAAGTTTTTGAGCCAAAATAGTTGTCGAACACTTTTTTGAAATTGTAACAAAAAAGGGCAAATAAAAGTAGAATAAATGAAACTTTGTCTTCCATGTTTAAACTAATCTTTATCAGTAAATCAAATGCACAAAATAATGACGGTGCGGAGTGTTGCGTAGTCTAGCTTTGAACGAGTTTTTCTCGACACTGGTTTAAGCTACAATGCGCGCTTAGGTATCAAAAAATAGCCCTGAATTTCAGCTATTTTTTCAGCTATCTCCAAATAATAGAAATATGAGAAATATGAGATGAAAAAAAGGACGTGTTATTTCTGATCACCCTGTAGTGTTGCGCTTGATGCATCTTTTTAACATCATAAAATCTACGTGTAATTTTACATAGAATAGAAGAATCGTAACATTTTTTAATGACTTTGACAACTCTAGCCGAGGAGTACAAAAAATGCTATGCTGTGATGCTGAAAAACAGTTAAATTCGAGTTTTAGGTCTCTAAAAAATCATCTTTCTCTGCATTAATACGTTTTTAGAGTTACCGTAAATACTGTAATAGTACCGCACCGCAATAATGACGGTGCGGAGTCTGGCGTAGTCTAGCTTTGAACCCATTTTTCTCGACACTGGTTTAGGCTACAATGCGCGCTTAGTTATCAAAAAATAGCTGAAATTCAGGGCTATTTTTTGATACCAAAGACGCATTTTTTGAAAGTACGGGCGCTTTGCAAAAAATGAAATAGTATGAAACTTTTGCGACTACGCGACTGGATGAGGGGGGTGGGGTACTATTTACGATAGATTTTGTACAATATCCGTCTGTCCGTCGGCAAAGAATCTGGAAATTCTATGATAGAATAGCCAACAAGAATTGGTTCCAACCAAATTTGCTAAAAAGAATTTGTACCAAAAATGAAAAGCAATATAAGAAGAAGCCTAGCTGTTTGACGCAAATAAAATAATCCTGGAAGTCAAATGTAATCCATTGAAGATCAACTTTCAATTAGCAGCGGGCAAAGTGAACGGCGACCTTTAGACTAATCTTTTTTCCAAAATGAACAACAACAAAAGAAAAGATTTCTTTAAAATGTTATTTGAAATCTTTTAGAAAACAAGCTTACTTATAAGTTTCATTTTGGTTTTGCGAAATAATGAATTTGATTTTAGGTTAGGCCTTCATTCGACCCTTTTGACCCATTTTGGTGACGATGAGAACGGGAATTATCTCAAGAGAACTGGGGAGCATATTGTAAGTGAAATAATATAAATAGAATTCGCTGATGAATTTAGAAGCTGGATTATTTGAGATCTTTCAGCTGAATCTAGTCTTTCAGGATCTTTCAAGATGTCAAACAGTGCCCGTTCCCTCTGCCACCTATTTTGCGATGAATGTCAAAGGAAATGTGAGATATGGGATCTCATCGATTGAGAAAATTATGGCCACGCTTACAACAGATATTGTGAGTGTTTGGCTGAAGAAAATAGTTGCTACTTCTGCATTTTAATCCTCAAGAAAATCTTACTTATTATAAGACACAACGTTTGTGTGTGTGTGTGTGTTTGTTCACCTCATAACCCCAGTCCTAGTCAGAATTTTCGTCTGATTTTTTGAGACAATATGTAATCGACTACGATGGTTTGGCCTGTCAAATCAGAATTTAAAAACCTTTAACCATTTTTGAGCAACGTAGAAAAAACGCGGCGGCGGCGAGATCAAAGAGTGCTTCAAAAAATGAGTTTTTAGTTCATTTTCTCCAATCTATTGGGTTGATGGAAAAGTCCTTTCCGATTTTTTGGGAGAGTAGCTTAAATTTGTCCAATTTTGACGTTTTATAGCTCATCCTAAAGCTGAATTCAAGACGGATCGATTGGTAAAAACCGTTTTGAGATATCTCTTTTCTAAAAGTTTTTACAGCTATTTTAGTAAAGGGCGACAGAGCCAAAAAATGGCTGTTTTCACGTTTCGTTAGTTTTCAGTGCAGAAACCTAGGCTAAAAACATGTGTTTCGTGATCAGCGTCAAAAATAACCTCTAGACACAAATTTTCAGAATCTTAGCAAAAATTTTTTGAAGAATATTGTCACCGGTGGAAGTCGAACCAGCGACCCTCAGATCAATAGCCTTTCCGCCGCTTTTCGCGATTTTCCTTCGTTTTTTAGCAATCGATCCGTCTTGAATTCAGCTTTAGGATGAGCTATAAAACGTCAAAATTGGACAAATTTAAGGTACTCTCCCAAAAAATCCGCAAGGACTTTCCCACCAACCCAATAGATTGAAGAAATGAACTTTTGGCACTAAAAACATTTTGAAAATTTGTGCTTTTTTAAAGAAAATGTTAAAGGCTTTGTTAAAGGTTCAAAGAGTCGGAAGCGAGCGTCGAAGGAATTTCGAGAGATTTTCCCTCTCAAACTCAGTTTAGTTATCGAAATACAAATCCAGTAGAGAAATAATGAACTGTAGTCAATTTGTGAACAATTAATGCTAAAATTTGACTCAATTTCCAGAAATTCTTGAACCTTTCTTTTAGATCCGACAAAACCGCGATCTCCTAGCTACTTCCGACTTTTTTGTGATTGATGGGAATGTACGCGTGGAAACACTGAAATTTGCGATTGAACAAGCTGCACAATTGAATGTTCCAGGTAGAAATTGTTAACAAATGTAATTAGTCTCATTTTTGTCTCATTTTTGTCTCATTTTTGTCTCATTTTTGACAACATTTATTAAATTGACTCGATTTCTAAAGTTTCAGTCTGGTTTGAGCCAACCGATATCGACAAAATGCAGAAGTTGTTCAAAAGTGAGTTGATCGATAAAGTGGCCGTTACGTCGCCAAATCGGAACGAGTTTCGAGAGTTATGTCGTTTTGCTGGAGTTTCAATTAGCGGTTTGTACCTTTTTAAAACAAGTTTATCATCAAATTTCAGAAAAAGATCTTTCTTCTCCAAAATCTGTACAAGATTTCATCACCAAAAATCGTCAATTCTTTCAAAACTTTAAGCATTTGATTGTTACAATGGGTGGAGAAGGGGTTGTTGTTTGTTCGAGGTTTAGAAAATACTCAATTGCACAAAATTCTACTGAAAAATTTAGAGAAAAGGATGATCTCCATATTTTGACACGATCGGCTCCTCTGGCTGATGCAGAAGTTGTTTCCGTTTCTGGGGCTGGTGATTGGTGGGTTTAATTGGAAAATAGATAGAGAACTTTCTACAATTTCGTTAAAAAGAACATTTTTAGTATTAACTATCAAATAACACTATCAGATATAAAATTTAAATATACAGAGTGACACTAAAAGTTCGGAGCCAGTTCGGAGCCAGTTCGGAGCCAGTTCGGAGCCAGTTCGGAGCCAGTTCGGAGCCAGTTCGGAGCCAGTTCGGAGCCAGTTCGGAGCCAGTTCGGAGCCAGTTCGGAGCCAGTTCGGAGCCAGTTCGGAGCCAGTTCGGAGCCAGTTCGGAGCCAGTTCCGGGCCAGTTCTCAGGGCCAACAGAAAACTTTTTGAGAAAAGGGAGTTTAGAAATTTGAAATCTAGATGTAATTTCGGTTTACATTTTTTTCGCAAAAACACAACCTTCTCATCGAGTAACATCGAGTAAACCTTTCTTCAGTTAAAAATTGAAATCCGATAACGACTCGTCAACTCTTTAAAGCTATAAGTTTTGCGTTTCAGCTTCAGTAAACCTAAAATTTTCCTATTCATCTAGAAAGAGTTTTAAAAATAGAATTGCTTTTGATAGACTACGTTTAAATCGAAATTTCAGAAAATTCAGATAGTTTTTTCAGAGAAATTCAAGCGACCAGGTATTTAGGTTGATTCTGGCGATATATTGCGAATTAAAAGACTTCATCTTTGCTCGTAAAGCCTTAAATTTAACGTAAACTTGCTATAATTATAAAATTTGATAAAAATATTCAACGTTGGATCGTTTTTTTGTTATTTTGAAAGCTAAATTTGACGCCGGAAAATGAGGTAGCTCCGAACTTTTGTGTCAGCCTGTACAAGTCATCCAGCTGTCATTCCTGTCAATAAAGCTGTAGCCACTGTAGCTTGCAATATTTATCATTGTAGAAATAAATCGTTTAAGTTCTCATTTTCAGTTGGAACGGTGGATTCTTGGCTGGTTGGTTGTTGGGGAAAACGGTGGAAGAGAGAATCGATCTCGCTCAAGAAACGGCACGAAAATCATTGAAAAGCACATTTGCTGTACCTGAAACGATTCAGTCGTTGATTTAGAAATGTTTCAAGAATGTTTAAAAGTAATGATTAAAGATTTTATAAGTTTTTAACATTCAAAGTTAAGACACAAAGCACAAAAGAAACTTTTATTGTAGAGTCTTTTTCTGAGCCAAATATTCCCTTGAACAGTTTTCTTTGTTTCTATTCAAGCTCTTTCAATTTTTATCGCAATTTCTGAAGAAAATCTGCGAGTTTTTGCTTTAAATTTCAATTGATCAATAGCATATATGATATGAAAAGGTTTTTAAGCAACATATTAGTGATTAAAGTCATCTAGCTGTCATTTCTGTTAATGGAGTTGTCACTGTCTATATCAGGAAGATACGGCTAAAAAGTACATATGATATTATTAATTATAGAATTATCCCACCGGAATTTAGCAAGGGTATCGTCTAGGATATCGTCTAATTGACCCACTAAAGATGTTTATTTACTTTTTCTAATGACTGAAGCAAATATGACATCCAAATATGACAAGAATCACATTTCCGAACCACAATTTCACACCGTGAAGACCGCAAGTCTTCCTGCTTAATCAATCCAATTCGATCAAATTTCTGAATTTTCTATCTGACTTTTCTTTTGAAATATTTCACTCAAATAATCTTATGTTTTATTTACCATTTGGTGAGCACACCCTATTAACACACCCTATTAAGACTCCAGCAATTGGGCCTCGACCGCTAAATTGTGAAATCAAACCACTCTTTAAATAACCATACCTATACAGACCATTAAGAACACTCCAAAGAGCAGCATTTGAATATAGTCAAACGTTTTTCGTACTCAAAATTGTCCTTTTAAAACTTACTGTCTCGTTTTTGTATGAAGAATGTGTGAAGAATATCTAAATGTCATCTGTTTGCCCTTGCAATGGTGAGAAAATTTGTTGCCGGTTCAAATCGAAAAATACAATCAAATGAAATCTCGGTATTTATCTGGATTCCATTGGGAAGTGGCAAAAGTCACTAGAAACTATGTATGCTAAAGTTGTGACAAAGGAAATCTTTATTTCAGAAATTTGAAGCCTCTCATTTGTTATTTTCCTTCGAAACGGTGCATTTTGTAGTCGTTTCGTAGTCAGCTGTGATAAAAGTCGAAATTCGTGCTATTTATAACCATGTCACTTTGCTTGATACTTCAAAATGAAACAGAGACTAAAACTTCAATCCTTTTGCGCATTTTTCGGTTTAAACGAATGTTAAACGAAATTTGGCTTGCGCACATTATTTCTCGTGGATCTCCTACCGTACCCCCTCATTTTCTATCGCTCAAAGAAATCCTCCTCCGTGAAGAAAAATTCTTCCAGCTTTTAGTGTTGTTCTCTTTTCTATGTTTTCAAACATATTTTCTTTATTATTTTTCTAATTTTAGAGCACAATGTGGTCGACAATATTTTCTTCAGTGAGTCGGACGATTCGCACCATTTCCCAGCGACTACCCGGCTCCAACTTACAGGTTACTCGATTTACAAACTTTTATGAGTGTATGACTTAATGAATTTCTATTTTGTACCGATAAATCGCTTCGGCAAAATTCAATTTTATGGGATTTTCTCAAAACAGTATTTTTCTTTGACTAAAGGACTTCCGACACCAAGTTTAACCCAAATAGGCAAGAAAAAAAAGTCAGAAAAGGTTTTTCGCTGAGTTTCGGGTATTTTTTAAATCCCACATACTTATACTTCATTACGTAGATGCGAAGTTTAGGGGGTTCTCTCAAAAACTAGTGTTTTGATGTTGCATAAAACAACTAGCAGTTTTTATCGAACTAACAAAAAATGATCTGGAGATAGTTTCCATCAACATCAACAACTCTCGATCACCCAAAATCAAGCCATGAATCCGAAGTTCGTCTAGCCGTTGATTTGTGGCAAACCAGTCATGAATGTCGGTTAATCGAAGAAAATCGGAAATCTTTTGGGCGCTTGGAAGAAAATTAATATAAATAAATAAAAGGCACATTTTTGAAAGGCTAAATGTAAATTTCTGAAATATGGTAATAATAAGCACCAAAACACTAAGCCTAAGAGAGTCCCATAAACTTCACATCTATGTAGTAAAGTATATGGCATTTTAAAAAAATACCCGAAACTCAGCGAAAAACCTTTTCCGACTTTTTTTTCTTGCTTATTTGGCCTAAACCCGGTGTCGGAAGGCTTTTGGCTGAAGAAAAACAATGTTTGGAGAAAATCCCATAAACTTGAATTTAGCCATCGTTTCTTGAACTAGTTTATGATAAATGTTCGGTACTTTCGGGCTTGGGAGGGGCTACTTTTGGCTTAGTTAGTCCAATCTACTGTTTTGAGCGGTTTTGTGTCGATACCTTTCTGCTAGTCGGAACAAAGAGATATATGCTGAAGCGATTGGTGCCAATTTAAACACGTTTTAGATAATCCTATTCGTGGATTTGCCCTGTGTCCTAGCCTGCTGTACTTTAACTACCGAACGTTATCTCAAAGCTGATTACACTTGGAAAACTGTAATACTAACTTGAAACATGTTGGAAATACTTTAAAATTAGCATCAATCGCTCCAGCATATATAATTACCCCGGAATAGAAGAAAAATATTGACACGAACCGCTCAAAACACTAGATTCGACGAAGCCAAGCCAAAAGTGACCCCTCCCAATCACCGCCACCAAATGTTTTGTTTTGATTAAAACTTCCAGGTAGCATTGTTTTTGTTAAATCAAGATTCATCGCAGAAACCATAAAAATTCATACTTTTTGTTTGGCTTTTAAGGCCATCAAGCTAGGATCAATCGTTTTTAAAGGATTCAGTAACTTTTTGTTTAGTTTTTGATAATTTAGACTTTCTCCCGGTCATCTCTACCCTCGACATCTTACAATCAAGCAGCTTCAATCTCGACGAGCGAGAATGTGTGCGCGAGGAATTCAATACTACAGGTTTGAGTTTTTAGCTGTTAAACTTTAAATAAACTGTCCAGATAATATTTTGTAAGGCGTAGCTTGGAATTTATATGTGTTGAAAAGAGTAATTATGTTCTTAAACTAACTATTTACTTCATTTTAGCACATGCACTATCAGGGGATGCCAAAAAGACGTTCGAGAAGTTGCGATAAATCGCCGATCTCCGGTTACAACGCCATCAAGGGAATTGTATTGAAAAGTAGGTTTATTTGTGTGTTTAAAAAGATTAAAAGGAAGAAGATTTTAAAACAAAAAGCTGCATACAGAACGTTAAGCTGTCGGCTTTAATATTAAAATAAAGGTTGCATACGAGTGAAGTTTGAAACCAATTTTGAGTTGACAACGTTTGAGCTTTAAGTGAATTAAAATTTAATTGAAGTTCATCTTATTTTAGCGGTGATCCGACATCCGAAGAAGCCGAATTCGGGCAATCGCAAGTGTGCGATTGTGAAGCTCTCTAATGGGAATGAGGTGGGTGAACGTTTTTGATAAATGACGAATGATGATAACTTATTTTGATATTCAATAGTTATTTTTTTATTAGATATGTGCCTACATCCCGGGCGTCGGTCACAATCTGCAAGAACACTCTCAGGTATCTTTTTACGTCAATTACATGGATTTTATCAAAGTAAACAAGCTATCGTATTCACGAGTATTACATAAACAACGGTATAGAATTGCAAAACTCATTAGGTAACAATTTTTGAAAAAAATATTCGTTTAACTTTTTTGTTCAGGTAATGGTGAAGGGTGGTCGTCGTCGTGATCTTATTGCCGTTCGCGCCAACATTATTCGCGGAAAGCTCGATTGTGCGCCCGTTGGTGGAAAGAAATAGTTTGTTTCTTTTTCTTGTTTTCTTTGAATCTTTGTTATTTTTCTCAATTGTTATTACTTCGGCGTGTCTCTGTTGTACAGTTTATCGTTTCTTTTGTTGTTAGGATTGTAGCTAAGCTTTTTCTAGATTTAAATTGATCCAAGTTGATATCTTGGGTCAAAAGTCAATAAAGATTATATATTTACGGAAATGTCCATTTTACGTGGATCAAGCGGAATAGAAATTATTTAATTTAAAATGTCTGGAGGGTTCTTTGACGAAGAGAGGATTGTGCAATAATGGTAGCTATAATGGCTAGCCAATAATTAACTTTTAAAAGGCTTAAATTTCAGCGCATATAAAAAAGTCGCCTCCAATGAAGAACCAACTAGAAAATGATTCACCGTAAATGCTGTATGTGAATGACATGTCATTTTATTTTTCAACCCCTCTAAATCGACCGATCCAAAAAAATAGGTAAGGGGACCACATGAATCAAATTGAAATTAGTTAAAAACTGTTTTAAAGGATGGCCCTTTGTCCAAAACTTACAAAAAACACGTTTAAAAGTGAAACAATTTTATTACCCGGGACCCCCTTTGAATCTCCAAAAAAATTCATGTGGGGAACCCTTATTATTTTTTCAAAAAATTACTGCCGATAAAATTTTAGTAGGTTTTAGGGCTAGATTTATCCATAGAACCCTCACAGGGGCTAGAGTCAAGATTTCGAGGGGTCAGGGTGGTGTCATTCTAATATAGCATTTACGGTATTTACATAAGTGAGCAAGCTCTTTTTATCGGAGGACGAGTCTGCGAGTTCTAGGCAATTCACAGTTACAATTCACATCTCATTTTACCGAGTACTACTTTTCTAAAGCATTTCAGCTTTCGACATCTTGCCTAGTCCGTAATCTTGTCCAGTTAATTATTACCATTTTGAGCTGAGATCTTTGAACATTCAAATTCCAAACTGAAAAACTTGATATAACTGTGTTCTTTGGTTGCTGAAGATTAAATTTTGTTTACGAGTGTTTTGCAAAGTTTTTGATCAATTTGAAAAGCTCAAATTTTGCAAAAAGAGAAGTTTTCCAGCAGAAATCGAGTCGATTGAAATCAAGAACAAAAAATTTTCTCCAAATTTTCCAAAAAAATCTATTCGACTCTTTAGATCGCAAATTTTTGAGTAAAAGGCCAGATGCTTTTTCCGAGCATTACTTACACGAGGAAATTCTCCCATAGCCGCCCTTCAACCTCTTGAATGTTCACATCAAATTCTCATCAACTATCACATTCTCAAAAAACATGCCGCACATCCGCACGAAATAAGGCAAAAAAAATCGTTTTCTATAGGATTTTTATGTTTGAGTAGTCATTTGACGCAGGAAAATGTGCTAAAAATGAATCTGAAAGAATTTTTAAAATCCGTCTCGTAGATTTTTTAAAAATCGGTTTTTTTTGTTTTTCCAATATAAAAAATGAACTTTTTTGTCTGAATCCATTCATAAAACATTAAAAGCGAAAAACTGAAATACTTTGTAAACCAGTCTCACAAACACACCCTGAATTTTAAACAATTAGTTAGATTGCATAGAAGTTTTAAAATCGACTTTTGAAAATCAAAGATGATCTCAAGTGTGGGCAAAAATTTACGAATTCAATTCCAATTTACACTGAATACTTTTGCCATCAACTGCTCAGTTTCAATCGTTTCAAGTTCAGAAAAATTTTGAAATCGATTTGCTCAAATCCAATATTCTAGTGGAACATTAGAAATTCCGCATATCTTTGCGATCTCCTTTCACAGCGCTGGTTTGAGTTGACCAGGGATTTTTTTTGGTTCTTAGGACCCAGTTGACCTACCTTTCGTTGTCAAGTTATTCAAAAGTTTGAGAATTTTCTTTTAATTGTGTATTTGAGTGTTTGTTTTTTATGGAGCTTATGGTTTTAACAATTTTATTTCTCGAATCGAATCTTTGATGGGATGCCGAATCTCTATGCAAAGAAGCGCAATGGGGAAACTTTGTATAAACGGATCCATTTTGGTGCACTCAATTCTTTAAAGGTGTTGCTACGAGTGCATCAGAAAGAGCGTGTTTTCACGAACACAAAGTATAGAAAAAGAAAAATGTACAAAAAGTGCAATGAGCCGAGAACTGGATTGACTAATTAGTGAAGAATGAAAGTACAATTTAGCAGAATTCTGATTTAAAAGAAAAGAAAAGACAATTCTGAAAGAAAATTAGATCAAAGTTGATGATTGGGATTTTTGGATGAGGAAGATGATGGATTTGATGGATTTGATGGGTGAAGTGGATGAGAACGATGCCCGTCTTGAACGAGATCGTACAGAAATGAATCGGACGAGAAAACCTCGAAGATCTCGAACACTTCCACGTCTTCGTGCTGAGTGGTACCGATATACTAAATTTATCGTTTAACTCTTGGATTTATCGTTTCAGCTAACAATCGCTTTAAATTCAGCTAACAATCTCTTTACCCAACTCTAAGTAACTCTAAGAGATTTTTCTTGTGACTAGAGTAAAGGCTGTGATATCCTCTAATTATTGCTCTTACCTTATTTTGGTAGATAACCTGTTTTTTTTGTTTCAGACCCACAAACTCAAGTAACTACAAGTCTCTTAAAGTTAGATTAGACTCATTATCTTGAAACTGATTGATAGCATTTATAAATCACAGCTGATCCGAGATTAGGCTCACCCTACCTTGCACTTTGTCCCCAAAAAGAAATGCTACCTTTATGGTTTATTAAATTTCTTGTGTAAGTTACAGTAAAGGCTTAATAGGGAAAGGCACTAGGCCAAGTTGGCTTTTTAATACGAAAGCCACGGGACTTTATAGACTTTATAGAATCGGCTATGCTGATTCTGGATATGCTTTTACTTTTTTCAAAAGAGCTTTGTAACGCGAGATATCTGGCATCAAAGTTTAGGCCGATTTTTGGAGTCCTTAGCTTTTTCTCTTTCTCAAATTCTCAGCTGGTGGCGCAGTGGATAGTGTGCTCGCCTTCGGGACGGTTTGATGCTTTTTTTGCCCGGGTTCGAGTTCGCTCCCGGTATATTCCTTTTGCTTTTTTGAGAAAATGATTAGAAAATGTTGATGGCATCAAGATTGATTTATTTTGACTTTGATTAACGGAAGAATGTTTAGGAATGATTTAGGAACATCAACGATTTGTTCATAAATCTTGTTTGTCGTTGCTGGAACATTGTTCAATATTTTGTGAACTGCTTATGCAAAAATAGTGGATTTCAATACGCGGAATGGAATTGAATTCCACAAAATAGTGGAATTCAATTCAAATTTTCTAATCATTTTCTCAAAAAAAGCAAAAGGAATATACCGGGAGCGAACTCGAACCGACAGAAAAGCGTCAAACCGTTTTAAAGGCGAGCACACGATCCACTGCGCCACCAGCTGCGGAAAGGAAAAGAGAAAAAGCTTATAAGGACTCCGAAAATCGGCCTAAACTTTGATGCCAAATATCTCGCGTTACAGAGCTTCTTTGGAAAAGAAAGCTTTGAAAAAGTAAAAGCAGATTCAGAATCAGCATAGCCAATTCTATAAAGTCCGGTGGCTCTTATAAAGTCCGGTGGCTCTTATAAAGTCGGTGGCGCTCATAAAGTCCGGTGGCTCTTATAGAGTCCGATGGCTCTCATAAAGTCCTGTGGCTCTTATAAAGTCCGGTGGCTCTTATAAAGTTCGGTGGCTCTCATAAAGTCCGGTGGCTCTTATAAAGTCCGGTGGCTCTTATAAAGTCCGGTGGCTGTCATAAAGTCCGGTGGCTCTGATAAACTCCGGTGGCTCTGATAAAGTCCGGTGGCTCTGATAAACTCCGGTGGCTTAAAAGGCCACTTTGACTTGGTTCCTTTCCCTAGTTAATACCATATTTTTATTCTTCTATTCAAGTAGAACATTCGGTCTTATCATCTGATAATATTGTATTGTTTTTTACTATAGTTAGACAAGAGATTCCCACTTTAAAGTACTTAAAAGGCCCGAAAATTGTGCTATCTTGGACACAAAATAGAATAAATGTTTTTTTTCGATTTTATATTATCTAGATTAGTTCAATTCGCTAAAACAACGCACCTATTAGGTGTCTTTATTGACTCATTGAGAAAGCGAGGTACGCCAAATGTCATAGATGAATGAATCGCGCTCGTACAATTGGTATAACTTTCCAATCTCCAATTCATCCCTCACCGCCGCGTTGTGCCACTGAAATGACTCGTTCAGTGAGAAAAGAAAATTGAATGACAGAAATGAAACGCTCATGCACAACACACCGATAAAACCAAGAAAAGATTTTGAGGACAGTTTGTTTAGTTTTCAATAATTAAATGACCAATCCCCACACTTTGAGACTTGTTCTTTGGAGGGTACTTTGGAAAACAGCTCTTCTGGAGCACTCAGCCGGGCTGATTTTTTAAAGAAACCGTAAAAAGTTGTTAAAAGAATCGAAGAGAGCAAATGATTTTAGTGGAGCTGTTCCTTCGACATAAATCTCAATATTACCTAAACATTAGAGCCCCCTTGTGTCCTTGTAGAAATTCGTACAACATAACGTGTCGCAGATAGAGTAGATTAGTAGTAGTAGATTTCCAATAGTAGATTTTCTCCAAGTAGTAGATTTTCAATAGTTATAACAAAGTAAAAATCTTTTTCGACTAAACTCGAGGCTTTCGGCGACTAGGCGTGGCTCTTTTATCTTGCATCCCGAATCTGCTTTCTCTAAATCCTCTAGAGCTTTTTTTTGTCAATGACTAAAGACTAAAGAGTGTGATTAACGTTTGGAATGGAAATCCCGACAAGTTGCATTTGATCTCCACCGTGTCTGATTTTAAAAGGGGTATTTCCTTGCATTTTAAGTGACTTTGAGATCTTTTATTTGGGTACATTTTTCATGTCGCTTTCGCACTTTATTTCTTTCTGAATAAAGTATTTATATAAAGTAAAGTAAAACTCCAAAAAAACCATAAAATAACTAAGAAATTGGTCATTTATTTTCTTGTTCATAAAAAAGTTTTTGAAAAATAGAAGAAAATTTGCGAGGTTTATTGAAAAATGCAAGAAGAGCATGCTCTTCTAATAGAATCCATACGATACCTTTAAAAATACAGCTCCCTGGTTTTCACTTTATGCCCAAAGTACACCAAAATTCAAGTCTCAAACACATTTTCTTACTTAATCCTAGAAGTGTTTCATGGTGGTGCTAGTTGTCTAAAAATTGGGCCTTTGGGGGAAATGATAAGTGGATAGGAGACTTGGCTAACGAGTCATTTGCCAAGTAATGACGAAACATTTTTCAATCACATTCTTAGCTAATACTATTAGCTAATATTTTAGCTAATACCGTAAATACTGTAACAGTACCCCGCCCCTATAATGACGGTGCGGAGCGTTGCGTAGTCTAGCTTTGGACGCGTTTTTCTCGACACTGGTTTATGGTACTACAATGCGCGCTTAGGTATCAAAAAATAGCTGGAATTTAGGGCTATTTTTTGATACCAAAGACGTATTTTTTGAAAGTACGGGTGCTTTGCAAGAAATGAAATACTAAAAAACTTTTGCGATTACGCGACTCTACGAGGGGCTGGGGTCCAATTACAGTATTTACGGTAGGTAATCATTATCATTATTTTTTACTTTCGGGATTGAAGGCCTCGTTAGCCAAGTCTAGGCAAGCATGCATAAGAAATAAAATTACCTGTAGAGTGCTGAAGAGGCAAAGGATCTCTCCAAGTCGACCCGCATAATCTTCTAGGCAGACCTCATATCTGAACAGTTTTTTGATAGATAAACATGTTGGATTTGGAATTCAAATTCAGCTCTAAAAGAAAAATGTTCAAAAAGCCATTAGCTCAATGAACTCACTTGTAATATTTATGAAGTTCCGCTAGAATTTTTGCTCTCTGATTCGCTGCCAAATTTTGCACCTCGTCACAGTCATCGCAAAGATCTGAACAATGAAATTGACGACAGTGATGCTTCGATTATGAAAGATGGGTTGAAAAACGAAGGGTTTCGAGGAGGGTTGAAAAATAGAAGTCCCGGGGCTTCTATTAGAGCTTTTACGGTACTTAACCACTAACTTTTTGCCTTATCAAGTTAATCAATTTTCAATAAACCCTGACTCACTCGGATTCCATAAAAGAAGTGCAATAGCTGCAGCGAACTCCTTCTCACTCGGATTCGCTCGATTGATCCTTTTCGCCAAGTAAATATTTCTGTCCGCACATTTCACGAGAAGCCTAGGAATTAAAGATTTTTAGTACACTTTTAATTCTTGAATTTGAAGTTTAAGACGGTTCACGGTTCCTTTCCAATATCGGGGGAGCGAAAGGAAAATCGGGGGAGCAAATTTTGGCAGCGCTACATATGTCCTATTTAAAATTGTGACGAACGGGAGCTTGCTTTGTTGCAAAAAGTTATCGACTCGAATTCCTCTTAAATGCTTGGGGACCTTTCGCCGTGCTCAAGTGTCACATACCCAGCGAAATAGATCTTTTCCCTTTGAGCGGACTTTCATCGATTCGCCACATTTGCAAATCCAAGACTGGATGACTCCTTTGGTGACGAAATAATCGATTACCGTCGATTTCTTGACGCACAAATATCGCGGAAAAGCGCATCGTCGTTAAAGTTTTAAAAAAACGTTGGAGTTAAAATACAGTCCCGGAAATGCATTTTTCGAGGGGGCAAAATTTGCTCCTCCGATTTTCCGCTCCCCGATATTGGAAAAGTACCCGGTTCACTTACTTGGAGACTTCTTTGAGATCCAGTGGTTGAACCGCAGCTAAATCCGAGAAGAAAGCCTCTGGGATTTGAACCTCACTGAACGTCGTTTGAGTCAACATGAAACGGATGCTAAAGTTAAAAGTTTTAAAATTACTTTTTCAAAGGAATCGCTTACATCTCTCGATCATTGTAGAACCTCTTGTAAGTCCCCCAAGCGTTCTCGAGAAGCCAAAAGATTGGGACAAAACTTTGAAAGACGAGCCACTATAATGGTTTGTTTTTTGTTGAGGTAAACATGATCCAAAACTGTTTACAGCTGTAGGTATACAGGCTGTAGTTAAATCAACCAATAACTTACATTGTAAGCTTACTGTAAGCTTAATTGTAGCTTACTGTAGACTTAATTGTAGCTTACATAGTAGTACTGAGTCTGTACTTACCTTATCTTTTTGCCCAAGTAATCCAAAAGCGTCAAAAGTCTCGTTGATAAACTCTGCTGTGGCGGGGACATTTGCTCGCATAATCTTTGAGACGAGATTGAAATTGGCTGGATGAATCTCCTAAAACAGACTTGTAGTTTTCAAGAATTTATTCTCAATAGTTTTTAAGTTGAGTGAATTGCATGAATTCTATTCTAGTGTGACTTTTCATTGATCTGAATAGGTTTTGAGGGTTCGTTTGATCAGTGTCCACTGATCTTACATCACTGATCCACTGATCTAAATGTGTCCACTGATCAAACGAACCCTCAAAATCAATCCAGATCAATGAAAAGTCTTGAAAAGTCACACTAGAATAGAATTCATGCAATTCACTGAACTTAACACGTTTAGATTGGTAAATATTAGGTTGATGCAAAAGTCTTTTTCATTTTTTTCGTACTTCTTTTGAAAAATAACAAAGTCATCAATTAACCTATGGTTTGCTCTAAATGAAAAGTGTTTATTGTTCAATTTCCCATCTTTTTAAGTCAATTTGGGTTCACTTTCAAGCAAATTCGAGAGTGAAAACGGGTTTTTCATAAAAATCTATAAAAACCTCTATAAAGAAATTGGCTGAATCAATTTCTCTGAAAATCTGAAAAAATATCTAACTTTTTGTGCTCTATCTTTTATTTATTAACATCAAGATTGGTTTCCTTAGCTAAAGCGTCTAAAATGCATCATCGAGCCGTCGCCTTTTTTGACTACCCGACTTCAGGCTCTCAAAAAAATCTAGACATAAGACATTTTAAACTCGTTTTAATGTCATTTTGCAGAAAAATAATTGGCATTTCGAATGCAATAAACCGTTGTTCAATTGGTGCATTTGTTACTTTTTAACGGAAGTACGAAAAAAATGAAAAAGACTTTTGCATCAACCTAATAGGTTTTAAATTCTAAATTTAATCCTAATCTAAATGTATCTAATCATCAATCGTTAAACCGTCAAACTCACCGTATCGATTGTTGTAAAAGCGAACATTTGATTGCTGTATGTATGTCGCCACATCGCCTGCTCGGCTGCTCTTCTCACTGAGCAGAGTTGACTAAACAATTTCGAGTTGAAAATTACAAGAAAGTCTTATGCCTATAAGTCCAACTTATTCAATAGCAATGTCAATAACAATTTAAATAGCAATTTCAATAGCAAATTCACCGATAATTCTCGATAACTTTGTTTAGAATCGGCGTATTCGTCTCACCGTCCACCTCGCCAGAAATCGACGGAGGACCACGCTTCTGAAAGGGTTACAAGTAAAGATTTAATCTTAAAAATCACTAATTAATCTATTAATAAGCTATTAATCTATAGTAATAAGCTAATAATCTTTATTTTAAAACGAAATCTTTTTCATATATCTTCAAAAAGACGCACAATCTCTGCATCAGATGTAGACGGCTCACATTTGACACCCAAGTCGAACTCGTCCAAATCCTCATCGAGCTTGTTTTTCACGACTAAAATCGGGATTTTCAATTGATTCAATAACAGTTTTAGATGCTAATTTAGTATTTTAATTCTAGATTCTATTGGATTGGTGAATTGAAAACTGCCGGCTATTGTCGTATGTCACCCGAGATTGGAGATGTCAGCCGTCAACCCAGTTTGAGCACTTTCTTCAAAAGAAACCCATTTTGGTGTCAATGGAAAAGTTGTAGAGAATCAAAAATTAAGCTTATATCCAAATTTTCAGAACGATTCAAAAACTGGTTTTCAAGAAATTTGAAAATTTACGAATTTTCACAAAACTTACATTTTAAGCGAAACTACTAAGTGTATCTTTTTGGAAATTTGGCTATAAGCCTAATTAAAGAAAAATCGTTGTGCATTGTGGAAAGCTATTGTGTTCGTTAAACTTTGGCGTACTTGTGCTCAAGTAGAAACACAGCCTTTCTTGAAAACCAGTTTTTGAATCGTTCTGAAAATTTGGCTATAAGCCTAATTTTTGATTCTCTACAACTTTTCTATTGACACCAAAATAGGTTTCTTTTGAAGAAAGTGCTCAAACTGGGCTGACGGCTGACATCTCCAGTCCTCCATTTTTGAGTCTCACACTTGTCTCACACACAAACCAAAATCCTACTACGAAAGAGGAATCCACAAATTGCCTGTAAAATGGGCAGAAGTCGTCAATAATAATGGAAATTATTTGGAATGAATTCATGGTTTTATGTTGAATAAATTTTTGTTCGAAGTCCCGCAGTTTTCAATTCACCAACCCAATAGATCAAATTTCAAAGATAAGATCTTGACCTGGCCAAGATCTTGACCTTGCTAGGATCTTCACCTTGCTAGGATCTTCACCTTGCTAGGATCTTCACCTTGCTAGGACCTTGGCCTTGCTAGGACCTTGACCTTGCTAGGACCTTGACCTTGCTAGGACCTTGGCCTTGCTAGGACCTTGACCTTGCTAGGACCTTGACCTTGCTAGGACCTTGGCCTTGCTAGGACCTTGACCTTGCTAGGACCTTGACCTTGCTAGGACCTTGGCCTTGCTAGGACCTTGACCTGGCCAAGATCTTGACCTTGCTAGGACCTTGACCTTGCTAGGACCTTGGCCTTGCTAGGACCTTGACCTTGCTAGGACCTTGACCTGGCCAAGACCTTGACCTATAAAATCAGCTTAACTCACCATCTGGCAACATTCCTGATTCCAAACACTTTTTATATCGACACAAACGACACATCAATCTCACATCTGATACAGAATCTTTTATAAATCATTTCTTTTTCTTTACTTTTCTTGATGAAGCACTTCTCTCCACCTTGTCTGCACACATATTGCTTCTTCATGACGACACTTCGTCTGGAAATGATATTTACTTATATTTATTAAAATCAGTGTTAAATTGGGCGCCTGTTTTTCACGTCTTCTAAAGTCTGATTTTCACTTTTTTTAAACTAATTCTTTTAGAATATAATGTTTTCTATTAAAAAACAAAAATGATTTAACATTGCTGTTAAATTTGAGAAAATAAATGCAAAAGAAAAGAACGCAAGTGCTAAAATGCAACCTTTAAATACTTTTCGTCCAAATATTCAAGTTTTAGGGTGGGGAGGAAAGCAAAAATTGTGTTTTTTTCATTTCTCAATTAGAAACCTTGTTTTTCATATAGGAAATAGTTGTAGAAAAGACTAAAATGCACTCAATAATGATCGCGGTTCTTGAAAGACAACTTTTAGATCAGAGTACCCCTTTAATAAACAACAAGTAAGTATACTGTATTTTCTCTAATAGTAGTGGACCCCGGCGAGCCGAGTTGGTGACTATTTTACGGTTTCCAAGCTTTTGCAGAAGCTCAACACTCTAATCCCCCACTAGATCTCATCGTCAGCTACATTTTCCGACCTCACATCGATAGGTTCTGATAAGCGCTTTTCGAGATTTCGAGGAATTTAGGCAGCGCTTAGGGTGCACTACTATTTGAGAGAATACTCTATTTGAGAGAATATGGGAGCCGGTATTACGGTACTTGTCGTGGGATACCGTACTTGCGTCTAGACGTTGGGCACTATACGTAAAACTTACTTTAGTTTTGTACTGAGTCTTGTAGCATACCGGATTCTCTCTAATAGTAGTGCACCCAGGCGAGCCGAGTTGATGACTATTTTACGGTTTCCAAGCTTTTGCAGAAGCTCAACACTCTAATCCTCCACTAGATCTCATCGTCAGCTACATTTTCCGACCCCACATCGATAGGTTCTGATAAGCGATTCTCGAGATTTCGAGGAATTTAGGCGACGCTTAGGGTGCACTAATATTAGAGAAAATACGGTAACTTTCAAAATCAAAATCGATCAGGTTCGATGGACAGAATTTGTGTTTTAAAAGTTTCACTAACTGGTAATTGGTTTACAGTTTGCTTTACGTAATAATCAAAAACTTTTTTCAACGTTTCCATTTACCTAAAGAAAGCAGCACACGCTCGACAAGAGTCCACACCAAAATGCGTTCCATCCGACACATTTCCACAGATTCGGCAATCCCTTTTGTCTTCCATTACTAAAAATCAAAGTGTGTTTTTAGGATAGTTAATTGAAAATCAGAAAAATCGAATAGTCAAATAAAATCTAAATCTAGAAAGAACAAGTTGAATAAATGATAGAGATAATGTTAATCATCCAAGCTATGTTAATCAATGTTAATCATCCAATCATCCAAGCTAAACCCCAAAGCCTTGAACAAGATCAATCAGCTCAAATCAAATAGCCTTTCTGTTCCTTTTATCTATGTAAAGAATAGTTTGTAGAAAAAGTCTAAATATCAATCGGTTTTTAAAATATCAATCTAGAAAGGATTTAGCCATGAAAAGAAAGATTCCTGGAAATCCAGTTTCGCATGGCGAGAGTATTTTCGCATGCCGAGAGTACGAAAAGAACGCCTAACTTTGTTGGTATAGCCTTTTTGTTGGTATAGACACAGTTTCGACCATCATTTTTTGCAAAAACTCGCAAAACGGCCAGTGAACGCACAGTTTTCAGCACAGTTCAGCATACAGTTTTCGACTTTTTCTACAAACTATTATTTACATAGATAAAAGGAACAGAAAGGCTATTTGATTTGAGCTGATTGATCTTGTTCAAGGCTTTGGGTTTAGACTGCTTTAGACAGACTGCTTTATATACACCACAGACAGACTGCTTTATATACAGACAGACAGACTGCTTTATATACAGACAGACAGACTGCTTTATATACAGACAGACAGACAGACTGCTTTATATACAGTAGTATAGTATGCTTTATATATAGTAGATACCACCGAATGACTGATTGAAATGAAAGTGTTTTTGTGAGATTTAAATATAAAACGGATACAAGAAGGAAGTTTAAAAGAAGGAAGTTTAGAGGAAGTTTAGAGGAAGTTTAAAGGAAGTTTAGAGGAAGAAAATGCGTTGAAATCCAAAAAAAAAACATTCGTCTGTACTTGGTTACAATAAAATAATCGTTTTCTAGAAAAAGGTACAATCTCGACTCCATCCTCTAACCAATCAAACAATTCAAACAAGAAATTATCTTGCTTTGTACCAAAAGGGGATTATTTTATTGTACCAGCATTTCAGAAAGGATTAGAAGGCCAAAGAGAACAGAAAAGAAACGAAAAGAGTTTAGTCCCGTGTCAGACTTTGATTCGTTCACGCTAAAGCACAACTCGAACTTTCTGCACTTTTTGGAAATTGTAAAAGATTGTAAAATACTGAGAATTGAGGTCAGGTTTTAGCAACAATTCTATCAAAAGGTTATACTAGAAAACGGTGTACTTATCTTTGCACATAGAAGTGTACTTATCTTTGCACATTTGCACATAACTTTGCACATGCACATTTTGCAAACAATTGCACGATACTGAGAATTTTGTTGGTTTTGGGATTGAAAAACTACTTTATATATATTATATTATATTACAGTTCAAAAGATAGATGATAATTTATACTGAAAAATATACTGAAATCTACTAGTGAGATTTCTACACTGCTAGGCAACTTTTCTGCTTATCTAGCTGTGTAAGATCTAGAGTGTGTTCCTCGCGAGTAAATAATTACTCGAGTAAATTTGCATGAGTAATTTTTTAATCGAGTAATTGTCGAGTAATGCGTTTTCTAAAAAGTGAAAAGAATATAAAAGAATATAAAAGCAATTTTTTGCGCAGGTTTCTCAAAAGAAAAATCATTTTTTACATTTGAAGGGAGTTTCCCACCAAGTCAGTTAAACGGCTGAGTATCTTTAAAAAGAGTCGTATATAATTTTTTTCATTTCCATTTCTCTATTTCTCCGACTTTTCATTGTTTCTCTTTTGTCAAATTCGTTGTCGAACTTTTGTTTGAAAAGAATTGCTCAATATTTCGTTTGTTTAAACGAATTATTACCTCAATTTCGTCAACAACACATCAAAATCAAGGAATACAAGGAAATTTACATATAGAACAGAAAGATACAGAAATACCTATCTTTATCCTTCCCTAAAAGAAAATAAAGGTCAAAACTGGAATCAATTCTTAATCGAGTCATTTCTAGAATAAATTTTGAAAGTCTAGCAAATTAAAGAAGTTAATTTGTTAAAAAAATTGAAAAATTGAAAAATTTCGCGAATTACTTGAGCTAAATCCAAGTTTTAAGCTTTCAGAATGAGCAAAATAATGAATAAACAAAAAAAGTTTGGAGGTAATTAGTGAGGTTTCCTATTTTGATCACATTTACCGTATGCAAACCCGATGAATTTCAGAAAAGTGACAATTAAAGAGCTTTGGGAGCAAAGAGTAGAAATGTTGTCCATTCTCGTCGGAAAACTCGAAAACATTCCCACTGATTACATTGTTTCTTTTTCACCTTTTGCTTCACTCACCGCTACACGATTCGGGAAGTAATTTGGAAGTAATTTACAAGTGAAATGCAAGGGAAATGAGTCAGTGAAAAATGAAGTTGTTTACAAAATTTCTGTAAATTTTTCTCCAAAATGATCATCTAATGTTTTTGGAGAAAAGAGGAAATCAAAATGAAATGAAAAAAGCAAAATTCTGCATCAAATTTATAGGGATTTTCCCCCGCAAGAGATTTTCAAGTTTCGTTTTAAAAGAGCGCCTTGGATCGGAGCCTTATTTCAGAGATCAAAATTTGGGGAAAAGATAGGAAAAGAGAAAAGATTGAGCTTGTTTCCTGGAAGAGAAATTGAATGAGATCACACAAGATTGATCAAATGGTCAAATGGGAAAATAGATTGGAAAGAAGTAGACACTAGAGCCTAGTTAGTGAGATTAGAGATCAAAAATCGTCTAGCATTTTAAAGTTTAAGAATATGAGCTTTTCTTTTGAACTTTTCAGGAGCTTAAGTTTATAATTGGGTACTAATGCAATGCTCGGGTTACTGTAGCAATGCTGAGGGCAATGCTGAGATATAATAGTGTTAACAAGCTCGGGCTACTGTAGCAATTGTCATAAATTACTCAAAAGATTATCCAGAGCTCTTTCTAGAGAATTCAAAAGCTTTAAAATCACAATTTCAAGTTCAAAAGAAGACTTAAAGATAAGAAAAAGAATAAGAAAAAATAGATAAATAGTAAAATAAGAAAAACAGCTTTGTTTGATTACAATTGACTCATTGAATGGTCAAAGTTAGAGCAGAAAAGTGGATTACAATAGAAAATATGAATATTAAGCTAATTTTTGATTTCTATTTGATAACTTGCTTACAATTAGGTACCTAACAATCACTGTAAAGAAATATTCTTTGCGTGCTTGGTACTCTTCACTCAAGACACGTTATTTCTTGTTTCGAGATATCCACTCCTGGTGGTACGATTCTGTCAATTCCTTTAAGTTTCAGCTTTGCAACTATACTACCCCCGGAACCTGGAGCTCCCTTCCGGGAAGCTCCCCGGCAAGGCGGTAAAACCACCACCGGATCGCTAGATGGTATCGTTTACGGTCAGAACTACGGCGGTATCTAATCGCCTTCGAACCTCTGACTTTATCTTAGTTCAAGTGAGATATCTGATCTCAATTGAACTAAGACACTTTATTCAATAGCCGACTGACTCGAAATTTTTGGGCTCTCACTTGAGCAATTTTCACACAAAATCGACAATTGAATTAAAAGCGACGATAAAACAGAAATAATTTCGTTCTAATTAGAACAAAACTTTCACATGATGAAAGGAAAGCAGAAAAAAGTAAAAACACATCAAATAAACAACAGTTACGTTTTATAGGGTTTAACACAAGATATTCAGCTAACAAGCTGCAAAACAATAAATGATTTGGGGCGCGAAATAGAATGAAGGCGGATTTCCGCAATACTTCTCCAATTTTTAGCCTGTCAGAGTTAGGTAACTTTTTAGTGGCTATTCGCCACACGCGGCAACACATTCCTGTAACATATCTGGCATTGTTGAGTGGACTTAGATCAAGCCTGAAAATGTTTTGATCTCTTTTGAGCACTGTAGCTTTACCCAACAGATCCATTCTTAACACTACAGATATTCACAAAACTAGCAATTCACAACAGTACTTTCTCCTAGGTATATTTCAAGTTCTTCGCAATGCAAGATATTCAGTTAACAAGCTACAAAACAATAAATGATTTTGGGCGCGAAATAGAATGAAAGCGGATTTCCGCAATACTTTTCCAATTTTTCGGCTGTCAGAGTTAGGTAACTTTTTAGTGGCTATTCGCCACACTATTATTATGACAATAGCCCACAGTTTTCAATTCACCAACCCAATATGTGTCGTAGCCGATTATGAATGAAATTTTTTTGACAAATCTTTCTAATAGAGCAACCCTTTAATTTACAATACAATTACAATCACAATCACGAATAACTAAAGTAAACCATTTTATTGTTAAAATCTAAAATCCTTTTCAAATCTAATAACAATTTTCTCTGAAAAAAACAAATCCCCTATTGATATCATTTGAAAGGATTAACGAAAAAAGAAGAAAAATCCCGAAACTTGGCTATCTTTTTGATCGAAATGATCTGAGAAATCGCAAAACGATAAAAAGTAATTGAGTTGGGGAAAGAAAGAGGAAAAACATTTGACGTCATCAGAAAAATATCCAAAATTTCTTAGTATCTCTACGTAAAACAATCTGAAAAAGTTTTTGATTTAGAAAATTCAATTCTAAAGCTGAAACTAAAACCTGAAAAACACAGACACAGAAAGGCTAGCTCCAAAACTAGCCGATCAAAACAGAAACTAGACTAGACCAGTCTGAAAAATTTGAAATTTCGACATCCAATTCAATGTAAAGTTTCAAATTTGAAAACTTTTCATAAAGAATTGACTAAAAACTGTAAAAAGTCAAGCCCAAAATCAAAAATTTCAGCAAGATCATTTTTAAATAGAAATGAGAAGGTAGAGAAGAAAGTTTAAACATAAAAGTCCGAAACATTTAGACTTTTTGAAGCGTTCAACAACCGTTAAACGTTTCAAACACTTTGATTGGCAAACATTCGTTATTTCCTCTCCCCAACTTCGTAAACAAGCTATCAAAGTAGC